TTTTTTTTTTTTTTTTTTTTACGAGGTCACCTCATGCCACATGTTATTGTTTACTCCAAGTACTGTACTGTAAGAACAAAGTCTACATTGCTTGTGGCTGTAATTGTATAGAGACACAAGTAGAGTACTGATAATCAGGCACAGTCTCCTGTTCCCGTCTAAGCCATTAAATACCCCTGCAAGTATAAGCCCCTCTTGTAAACGTCACAGTGGAGGGCAAAAATTTCTCTCACCTTACCTTCAAGACACAACCGAACGACCTAGACTTGGATAGAGAGTAAAGAACCTCCACATTTCTTGCCCCCTGCCGAACCAACCACTGGAAATAGAATCAGCACAGACTGTGACTGAACTGGGCTTGGAAAAACAACCTCCATCTTTTCTGTCTTGGGTCAAGACCATATAAAAAGGACTTGCCGTCTCCCCCATCTTTTCCCTCTTTTCTTCCTGTTACCCGACTTTTCTGTCAATTATCTTGTCAACGTTAACTCTATAACTTTAACTCACCGTTGATATCAACCCGTTGATATCAATAACATAACCCGTTGAGCAACTGTTCTCAGTAGCTCTACCTCCAACCAAAAACTCGACCTGCCTTTGGTCTCGAAAAAGGCACCATCTTCACCACGGCTCCTCCGGCCGTGAGCTTCGTCAGTGACAAAGATTTCAGCCTCTGCAAGCCTTCCCACATCATCAACGCGATCCCCCCTCCCGTCGCTATTGCTGCTCGACGATAACAACCTCCTCGATCTCTCCGTCTTGCAACATCCAAGACCCGACTATACTCCCCCGTCGTTCTTCGACACCCGTCAGCTGCCGCATAGGAGGTACTTGAAGGTTCTTCCTCTCGCCGAGGAAGAGTCGAGGAGGCCTCGCCAAATCACCGAGGGAAACGTTTGCTACCGTTCCCGACCACCTTAACACCCATTCCGAAATCTTCGGTTTAATCACTCTTTCACTCTTGTCTTTTACGACAACTTGCAAGTCTCTCCCGGACTCAATTCCCTCGTCAAAACTCCCTCCAACAAACCCCCAGAAACGTTTGGGATATGGTTATGGCAACGGCTGTCCTCGACACTTACAACCACAATGTCAATCATCCTCATATCGCATTAAAGAAACCCCTACTTCAGGAACCTCTTGCGCAACATGACTTGATTACCCCCAAGCAACTCATCGGTCAGGCTCTCCACCAGCGCGTGGAGGCCATTGACCATGAGATGTGTGAGCCTGGTGACGAAGATACCTTCTTCGTTGCCGACCTCGGCGAGGTCTACCGCCAGCATCTCCGCTGGAAGAAGAATCTCCCTCGGGTCCGGCCTTTCTATGGTAAGCAACCACCACGTTTTCTGTGTAACACCGTGTCACACAACCACTAACACATACACACAGCCGTCAAGTGCAACCCCGATCCTCAGATCATCAAGCTTCTGTCTGAGCTCGGCACCGGCTTCGATTGCGCCTCCAAGACCGAGATCGAGCAGGTTCTGTCTTCAGGCCTCAGCCCCGACCGCATCATCTACGCCCAACCCTGCAAGACCAACTCGTACGTCCGATACGTCAAGTCTGTGGGCGTCAAGCAGATGACCTTTGACAATGCCGATGAGCTCTACAAGATCGCCAAGCTCTACCCAGGAGCCGAGCTCTTCCTCCGCATCATGACCGACGACAGCGAGTCCCTCTGCCGCTTCAGCATGAAGTTTGGTGCTGCCATGGACACCACCGAGGCTCTTCTTGCTCTGGCCAAGGACCTTGGTCTCAACGTTGTTGGCGTCAGCTTCCACGTTGGCTCTGGTGCCTCTGATCCTCTTGCCTTCTTCAAGGCTGTTCGCGATGCCCACACTGTTTTCCAGCAGGCTCGCGACTTTGGTTTTGCCATGCGCACCCTTGATGTTGGTGGTGGTTTCTGCGGCGACACTTTCGAAGCTATGGCCACTGTCCTCCGTGGCGCTCTCGACGAATTCTTCCCGCCTCACAGCGGTGTCGAAATCATCGCCGAGCCCGGTCGTTACTATGTTGCCACTGCTTTCACCATCGCCTGCAACATCATCGCTCGCCGCACCGTTGAGGACCCCACTCTCGATGGCAAGGGATACATGCTGTACGTCAACGACGGTGTTTACGGAAACTTTTCCAACATCATGTTCGATCACCAGCAGCCCACCGCAAAGGTCCTCCGCGCTTCCGGCAAGACCCTTTTCGACACTGCTGTAGCTGAGCCTACTCCCGTAGGTGAAGGCTTCGAGTACTCCATCTGGGGTCCTACCTGTGACGGTATCGATCGCATCACTGACAGCACTCGCTTCGACCCCATTCTCGATGTTGGTGACTGGCTTTACTTTGAGGATATGGGCGCTTACACCAAGTGCTCTGCCACTCAGTTCAACGGTTTCTCCAACGCTCACGACGTTATCTACGTCTGCAGTGAGCCTGGTGCCAAGGCCCTTCTCGGCCTGTGATCTTTGTTAGATCATGCTAGACCAGTTGGCTAGCGGAAATGTTTCTTTCGTTTTCTCTTTGGAGAATCTTTTTGTTATACGATTTGAGATCCAGTAAAATGGATAACGACACAGAACTGTTCAGATGAGAACTAGAAAAGACAGAGAAGAAATAGATAGACTCACTAGATAACCTAATCTTAATAAAGTCTGTCTTGGAACTTGTTACTGGTAATCATCTTATACGTGTCTACTGAAACTTGTTGTTCAACAATGATTCATAAGACGAGTGCACCTTCATCATTCACGAGATCAATGCAACTTCTCAGGGTATTATTTATTCATTGCTCAGTTGCACGTATACATACATTCCTGAGAACACCAAAATCAACCATGTATCGTAACGCAGCCTGCTGTGCTAGCGCCTAACTCCTTGCTCCGTATCCGATCCCAGTAGCTAAGAGCCACATAGTGTGCAGCACCTCTACCCGTGTGTGGGTAGGACTAATCGTGGGACAAAACAATAGATGTCGTTGAAAACATCTCAATACCAAAATGTACAGATAGAATATCAGTTCTAAGAACCACGGAAAAGGAACTGCATGTCCTCGGGGGTGAGAGACTCCATAGCCTTATCGTCAGCGTTGACGGTAGAGTGAATCATGTTGGTCTTCTTCTCCTGAATCAGCACCATTCGGCTTTCGACCGAATCTTCGATGCAAAGACGGGTGATTGTGCAGGGTCGAGTCTGTCCAATACGATGGCATCGATCGGCAGATTGCCATTCTGCAGCTGGGTTCCACCATCTACAGCTGTTAGTAGAGACCATTGGAAGGGGCTGATAAACTTACGGGTCAACGATGAAGACTCGAGAGGCTTCAGTCAGGTTCAGTGCTACACCACCAGCCTTGAGCGAAACGAGAAAGCATTCAACATCCACATTGTTCATGAAATGCTCAATAGAAGCCTGTCGCTGAGCAGGAGTCATGCTACCGTCAAGCATCACTGTAGTGATACCAGCTCGACGGAGACGCCACTCAATAAGCTGCAACATGGTGGTGAACTGGGAAAAGATGATTGACTTGTGTGAGGCATTGTCAGAACGGAGCTTGTGCAGCTCGTGAACAAGAAGCTCGATCTTGGAAGATGAGGTCCAGTTCTCCATCTTGATTCTGTTGATGATAGAGTTCTTCTTGACAAGATTCTCGTCCTGTTCAATCTCTGGCTGTTCGAGATCGATCGACAGAGGAATGTGGCAACGAGGGCAGTCAGGCTCATCAGTCGAGCGGACGTAGCTACCGACACAAGCTCGGCAAAAGTCGTGCTTACACCTAGATCGCACGGTATCTTCAGCTGGCTCGTCGCAAATGCAGCATACGAGAATGTTCTGTCCACCTTCGGCATTCTTCTTCAAGAGCAGATCGGGATGGTCAGCAACTTGTCGCATCTGCATGATGAGACCGAAAATGTTGGCATAGTTGTTGAGGAGAACACCCTGTGCAACATATGTATCGAATTTGCGCTGACCGTTGGTCATGATACTGTTGGCAAAGTCGTTCTCGACCTCTCCGAAAAACTGATGGTCGACGTAGATTTCCTTGACAGGAAGCTCCATAGAGTTGGTATGATCCTTCTTCAGACGACGGAGCATGATACGATCGGTCATCAGTCGAAGGTTCTTGAAAGCTTCGGTTCCTGGTCCCCTGTTACCATACTTCTGAATGGGGTTCAGAAGCTCTTGGTTGAAGACGGAAACGTGCTGCATTCCTGCATGCTGACAACCAGAACAGCGGCTGTGTTCATCCATGGACCACTCGAGCATCGAGCAAGGGCACTGTTTGCAAAGGTAAGATGCAAAGGGGGTAATGTTCAAGAAGCGAATTAGGGAGAAAAACTCGCCGATTCGGTTCTGGAGAGGTGTACCAGTCAAGCACCATCGGTAGTTGGTCTTGAGAGCAAAGCATGCTTTGGCAGTCATGGTGGTTCGTGTCTTAATGCAGTGCGCTTCGTCCAAAATGATTCGATGGAAGTTGAGCGCGTGAATGACACTCTTCTCCTTGTAAATACCATCCTTTCGTTTGAACCCCTTCTCCTGCTTGCGGTAGATCGACTCAAGACTGTTGTACGACATCATGATTACATCGTACTTCTTGAGCTGGGCGACAGTGATCCCTTTGGTCTTTTGATTTGTACCATGGTAAACGAAAGTCTTCAGAGTGCCATCAGTATAGGACTTGATCTCCGACTGCCATTGCATCAAGGCAACGGGAGGCACAAGGACCAAGGATGGCTGCTTCGCAGGGTAATCCGACATTATCAGAGATACTGCCTGAATAGTCTTACCCAGACCCATTTCATCACCTAGCAGTCCACCTCTCCACTCTCCCTTCTCCATTTCCAGCATCCAGGCTAGACCTTCAAGCTGGAAGGGCTTGAGTTGGCGTGAGATATTTTGAGGCTGGGGGGCTTTTGTGGCCTTGATGACAGGCATGTTTCTCAGAGTATCCCACATTGTTTCAATTTCAGGATGGTTCTTGACCAAACGCTCGCGCTCCCTAATGTGGCGCTTGGTTCGACGGCCCGCAGTGAAACCTCGTCTCTGGGCGATAGGAGCAACAGACCTGTTGCCATCTCCATCAGTATCGCTAGTACCGGTGTCCAGGGAAGCCTCAATGAGGGAATCGTAGTTGTTGTCGTCAGATGACACGGCCGAACCCAAATCCCTCTCAAGAGCATCAAGTTCATCGCCTGAGGGGCCGTCGTCCAGCGCAGGTGCAGCGGTAGATTGCTGGGCTGCGGCAACGACAGGCTTTCTGCGGTGGGTTGCGATGGTACGCACTGGCTGTTTTCCCTTGGCCTTTCTGGATCTTAATGGGACGTCTTCGTCGCTGGAGTACTCGTCATCTTCCTCCTCACTGACTTCATCCTCTGAAGGAAACTCATCACCGTGTGAGCTCAGAGATGATTGTTCGTCCTGTGCGTCCTCGTATGCCATTCCAACAGCAACCTCAGCATCCATGTCAATGTCTTGTTCATCAGAGTCGGGGATGACTCTCTGCTTCTTTGATGGGTTTCCTCTTTTGGAGCTTGTTTCAGTTAAAGACCGTTGTCGCTTGACCGAGGTTTGGGGGGTAGGAGCATTTGACAAAGAAGGTCTACCGCTTCTGCGCAAGGGAAGAGTCGGCGAAGGAAGAGCTGGCTCATGGTCGTAACCTTTCTGAATACGGCGAGCTGCTTGAGCGTTCCGAGAAAATTCCAGAAGATCATCATCCTCATCCTCGGAATCTTCAATGACTCTTGATTTGCCTTTGCCCCTTGGCTTCATTGAGTACGCACTGTTGCGCAAACCTCGCTCACGGTCAATGGTATGCGAGGCAGAAGGAATGACAACCTCGACTTTTACATGATCACCGGCTGCTGGGGTCGCTACTTTGCTCGAGGCCGGAGTTGAATAATCACTCTCCGACTCGAGGTCCTTGGGGGTGGGCACTGATGATACAGACTCGCTCTCAGCAACAGGAGCCTTGCTTGGGCGTCCGCGGCGTCTGGCAGGGACAACATCGGGGGTTGGTGACTGCACAGAAATGGATGCATCGGCCTCAACAATGCTCTTCCTAGGACGACCTCTTGGTCGTGCAGTTGAAGCCGCCTGGACTTCTGCGTCTGGGGCGGGAGTTGTGGCAGTAGAAGTAGCTTGACTTCTCAAAGAACGGGTCACACGACCTGATGCAGTTGATGGCTCTCGAGAGGCTAGTAATTGTTAGAAGTGGAAAATCTACTTTCATTTGATAAGCTCACCATCTGCTGCCGACGAGGCAATGGGAGTCCCTCGAGTCGAAGGGCGACCGCGGGCCATGATGTCAGTCTATACAAGGGTATGCGATCGACTGTGATGCGACGAAGGATTTTTGGGGATGTGTAGCTGCACGATGATGGAGAAATGAGAGGGATGTCTTTTGCGATTTGATTTCGCAATAAAGAAAGATCTGACGATGGGAGCCTGATGACAAGTGAAGGGCGGCACTTGAACCCCTGCTTATCTGCACAGGTGTAAATGCAGTGACAATGAATGGTGACCGTGAATAGAGACAAACGAAGTCACTGCGGGCAACAACAAACAGACAATGAATGAAGCAGGCAACAACAATATTTGACTAAAAGAAGTCAAAAGAAAAGTCTCAAGACCAGATGATGAGAATAAAACTTAAGACGAAAGGTGAAAAAAAGTAAAGTACAATTGAGGCAAGTCGCCACCAAGCTCCTTTTTCGGGGGCGTTCCTGCCTACTTCAGCCGTTCAAAGGGAACCCCAATTCACGGTTCACAGTGTCAGGGAAAGAACACCCCGCTACGCGCAGGCACGTGTCAGGGGCAAGGGGGTCTAAATTGTCGATCTGATTGGGGTGCATCGTGCCTGGATCCTCGATTTACCACCTAAAATGCCTGTTTGGAAGCCGATTGCATCACGTGACACGGTGTCAATCTCGTGCGAGGGGGGCGGCAGCGGGAACGCCACTGCACCTGCCCGACTCGCATGAATTCTGTGTTTTGCGCCGACTCCTTTTAAAGCTTGATTTTTTCTTCCCCGTTAAGTTTTAGGGGTTCATCGTGGTCGCAAAATCTGGGGGAACATTTTCCTGCACAAGTCTTTCGTTTTGAGGTGCATACCACGATCTTTTAACAACCATGTATGTTTCTTCCGTCAACGTCATGACTCTGAGTGGCGATAAGCTTATCATATTTACAGGGCGAGATCAACAAGGAGCAACAATCAGGCTCAAGACCAAAATGGGCAGAATGGAAACCAAAATCAGCCCGCCAGACGTGCTGTTTATGGACCGTAAGTTTGGATATGCGACTGATATACATATAAAAGCTAACATTTACTAGCCAATCCGCTTTGACTGATTTCCTGGCCGTGAGTGTTCTTGTAGCTCAACTAAGACCATACTGACCAAGTTTAGTCGCACAACATCTCTGCCGCCCAAATTCGTTCGACCGCAGATGCTCGCCGAAGACAAGCTGCGCAAGATTCTGCGCAAGATGTCAACGGTAATGGGGAATCTTCTGCCGCTGGCGCCGGACTCGCTGGCTCTCCAGACGATAGTGACGAAGCCTCGACAAAGCGCAAGCGGGAGCAGGAAAAGCAGCAACTCGCAAAGATCAAGAAGACCAAAGCTTTCAAGAAGCGCAAGAAGAACAACGACGACCAATCCGATGACGATCTTGCCCGAGAGATCATGAACATGGACGGCTACGCTGGCCCTATGCCCGGTCAGATGGAGAACTGCGAAATCTGCGAGAAACGATTCACCGTCACACCTTACTCGGTAGCTGGTCCAAATGGTGGACTTCTTTGTGCCCCATGTGGAAGGGAGGTTGCGAAGGAACGACAAGGCGCAGTGAAGAAGAAACCCAAGAAGCAGGCTCCTGCTGCGGGTGGTGTTGGCAGACGCCGTGCGATTCAAAGTCGAATTCTTGATGGTGATGTCGGCACCAAGAGTTTGGCTACTCTCTGTGTTCAGACCCTTGCCAAGAATGTCGATCTGGCTGACAGTCTTGGAGATCTTCCCGATCATCTCATTGATAAGATCGCCCGAATGTTTTCCAAGCGCCGACTGCTAAAGACCGAAACTCTGCCTCTCTTCGTTCAACCCACGACCGAGAGTGTGCACATCTACGATGGCTCAAAGCTCACGGAGAATGACTACATGTCGATCTTCCAAATCGCCCCAAAACTCCAGCACCTCAAGATTCGATGCGGTATCCAGTTCAAGGACGAAGTGATGGACTATTTGTTGACTCGTGACACTGCTCTGGAAACTTTCTACCTCCACGGAGCGAACCTTTTGAGTGAAGACAAGTGGCATGAGTTCATGAAAGCCAAGGGCCAATGGCTCAAGGGAATTCAAGTATACTACACCGACAACCACTTTGGGGACGATACTATTACCGCGATGAAAGACCACTGTCCCAACTTGAAGCGACTCAAGATTGAGAACAACCAAAAGGTCACCAACGATGGTGTCAAAGCGATTGCAGACTTGACATCTTTGGAACATCTCGGACTTCAGCTGCAGAACAAGACTCGATCTGACGCTTACTGCAAGGTCATTCGGAGCATCGGCGCCAATCTTCAGACTCTGTCTCTCAAGATTGTGCCTAGCATCGATGATGCAGTATTGCGAGCTATTCACGACAACTGTCGATCTCTCACCAAATTTCGCATCACTGATAGTGAGACCATGACTGATTTTGGGTTCGCTGAGTTGTTCAACAACTGGGCCAATCCCCCACTATCCTATATCGACCTTCAAAAGTGTCGACAGGTCGATGCGAGAATGCCCCGAGAAAACCCCGATAACATTGGTCTCTGCAGCGATGGATTCAGAGCGTTGATGGCTCATTCTGGTCATAAACTTCAGTATCTCAACATCCACGCATGCCGTCACATCTCACGTGAGGCTTTTGAAGAGGTCTTCGATGAAAATGCTCGATACCCTGCGTTGAAAGAACTGGAGATCAGTTTCTGTGAAGAGGTGACCGATTTCATTCTGGGCTCCATCTTCCGCGCTTGTCCCAACATTCGCACGGTCAATGTGTTTGGATGCATGAAGGTGAAGAGTGTCCGCGTGCCCCGTGGTGTGATTCTTGTGGGCGTCCCCAACGCGCAGGGTATGGTCGTTGAGGGATCTGATGATTAATTCCGTGCACCAAAAGCGAGTTCATTTGGAGTTTGGAGTTTGTGACACACAACCGAGTATTTCTGTTAGGGATATCCAATGCATGGCGTATGGTCACGATGCACTCAGCTAGTCAATGAATTATTGTACTTTGAACTTGTTTATTTGTATTTGTGAAATTAATCATGGTATATCATTACTGCGTAAATGTCGTACTATGACGTGCGTGCGGCGTTGTTCTTGACATACTCCTTATCCATCTCGACATAGTTGTTGAGCTTCTTCTCAAGCTCAGCATCGGTCATAGGAGCAGCCCTCTCAGAGATGTCCTCACGCTTGGCGCTTCTGTATCTTCGGCTTCTCCAAGAGATACCACCACCAGAGCAAGCATCAGTCTCCTGCAAGTAGTGCAGGTGAGCATCGATATCCAATCCAAGGGTTCCACCGTTGCACTTGAGGTTAGCACTACCCTCGCAGACCTTGATGTCATTGATGGTGTAGTCAACCTTGTTGCCTCCCGCACCAGACAGCCAGTACTCGGGGGATGTGTGGCGGTATCCAAAGACCAGAGGAGGAAGTCTGGGAACAGGGTCCTTGGCATTGGTAACGCGGAACTCTCCACCAGCTTGGTTCGAGATGAAACCAGCGAGCTGGGAGTTTCCAACTCGGGGGGAGCCGTAGGTGTAGATGTCAACGGGTGTTCCACCAACTCGAAGGTTTGCAGCGCCTAGTGTAGCGACGGCACCACCTAGTGAGTGACCTGTGGCAATGACTTTGAACGAAGGGTTCGCCTTGCGGGCCTTTGCAACAGCAGCGGTTGCTGCGGCAGAAATCTCTTTCCATGCATTCTGGAAACCGCTGTGTACACCACAACCTGAGGTCAAGCTGCAGTCCTCCTGGCCGAAGTCGAGGTTGGTGAGCCAGTTTCGAATGTTTATGCTTCCTCGAACGGATAGGACGATTTCCTTTCGTGAAGAGTCGGTCGAAACGTAGCCGCCAATACCAGTCTTAGAACCACTAGATGTGTAAGTTGAAGTCATCAGATTCTGCTGTGGTACTTACGTGAAGGATGCCACGATAGTAGCACCGTTGGACTGGACTGTTGGACAGCCATTGTTTCCACAGGTGATCTTTGCACCAGCCGCGGCGTTGGAGTTGCAGTATGAGGCAGCACCGTGCTGGATGTAGAACTTGAAGTTGCCAAAGTCACCGTTGGAGACAGCAACAGCTAGATATGTCAGTATAGGTAACTGTGTAGGGATGGAGAATGTTTACCTCTTTCATCGAGAGCCTTGGCGTAGTCCTCAACGCTCAGAGGACTGGCCACAGCAAAGGTGGCAACTGAGAGGAGTGACAGGACACGCATCTTGACAGGCAAGGGTAAGGATCAAGGGTATAAGTGATAGACAAGCTGTAACAAGGTGCAACTCCCTCAGAAAGAATGCTGAATACTGAAACTGGCCCTGATATCCCGACTTATAAGATCCCATATCGAGGGATGTGACAGCTTATATACTCTTTTGTAGCTTCACTTTTCCATCACAATACCCGCCCATAGCTTCTCACCCCATCTTGGCAAAGATGCTCACCCAGTATCAGTATAGTCGGTCTAATAACCGCCATGACCCAAAAACGAAATGAACCGCTCCGGCAGTAACAATGCTGTCCCTTGCCTTGTCCCTTGCCTTGTCCCTTGTCTTGTCCCTTGTGTGTGTTGAGGCCAGTCACCCCGCATTCTCGGCTTCCCTGATCCTGGTCAGAATAGTCACTTTTTTTCTGTTCTATAGATCTGACTTCTCTATTTTTCCTTGGTCCGTTTCCCTTGGGCCCGGAGTGAGCTTCCAATACAGGTAACGACGATCTCGGACCACGTGAGGGTCGTGATGGTTGCAGGGGTCACTCTTTAGCTTCTGTTACATCCTGGGAGGAGCATTTGCCAGGGCTTTCAAAATGTTGGGACGGTAGGGCTCTATCTCGAGTTGGGTGAATTTGAATAGGAGAAAAAATTTGACAAGTCTGGTGATTTGGTCGCGTCAATCGTAAGAGAGTGGTTGGTCCATAGTCTGAGACTTCAAGTCTAGTGTCACTGTGATGGAACGACCAATTATAGAAGATACTATAGAATATAGACCAAGAGATTTACCGCCGGAGCTATCAATATATCCAACAGCTTTGACCAACCATCTTTCACAAACACGACATCTATCACTTGCATCCGATCGACAAATGCAATGCCCAGAATGCGAACAACCTTGTCACAGCCTTGACCGCTATGCAACAATGTAATTCATTATTAATTTATCGCATCGAGAACCTTTTGTAGATAGTCAGGGATTGTAAGAGAAGGGACTTTTTGTTAGGTGGGGTGCCTTTTGAAGAAAACAGGTTTTTGTCAACTCTTTTGGGAATTATCTGGAGTTGAACAAGTGCCGATATCTGGGGAATACCGAATAGAGAATTAACCTAACCCATCAACATGCATTGGAGGACATGGAATATCGCTTTTACCCGTTCGTTTACTATAGTCACAACGATTTAATATAGCGACAATAATAACAACGCATGGCTTAATAGATTATCACAATATTCACACAAAAGCAATCAAGTTTCAGCTGTCAGACATCCAATTTCTTGACACCTACCGTTTTTATCGTTCTGCACACCATCTTGTCTTTTTGATGCATGGCGGGCCGATGTAAGCTGCATTTTATTGCACACCATTGTCGTCACCTTTGCTTGTGAGAGAAATGAGAGATAACATAACAAGTTTATGCACGCTCAGACAGGTCAAAAGAAATGACAACTGAAAAGAAATTCATGTTACTGATAATAATTAGTACACTCTTGGACTATCCTCATAGAAGCAGGTCTATCAATTCTATCAGCTTCTGGATTAGTATTGCTTTTACACAACTCACTTGACACTTTGCAGTTTCAGGTGTAATTGTCTGCTAAATATATACTTGGCATCAATAATCGATTCAAAAACAGTTACACTAGTCTTAGATACTACCCAACTACAACGCGCTCCAATACACATCAGGCATTTCATCTTCACTTCTTCTCGATAATCGCTCACTAGTTCGCTCCCGCTTACTGCGTACCTGATGATCGGCGCACCCAAGACCTGCAGGTGGTCACACCAGCAATTAACCAGCCGAGGAACACACAGTCCTTGATGTTCACTTCCTGCCCTGACTAGAAGCCTGTGATTGTCACTTTGCGGGGTTTTAGTCGTCGTGATGGTGTTGAACTAGTTCCGGTGGACCAAGAACCCCAACTAGCACTGCATTCGATCTATCGGAACTACAGTTACCCTCTCCTCTTTCTCATTCGAGAATACGCTCCGAAGTCAGCTGCTTCGAATTGGCTTTTAACCTCCTTCCAAACTCGACGTCGACCACCTATCTGACACTCAACTGTCAGCTTCAATGACGTCTGCTCGTAATCTTTTGCATGATGAATCCCTGTTTAAACTTCAGCTTCGATGCAAGTTCAGTTGTCGAATGCAATTCCGCTGAGAAATAGTGCAAGATCTTTTGTTTTCGTAGTCTTTGTACAGAATTTCGTATCACGAGGGTGGCTTAGAGACATCAGGACCCCAGAAACCACCTCTCTCTATCCCTTTCTCGTATCGTACACATGCCACCGCGGCTTCATTGACGTGTCATCCAACCCCTCCAATGTTCTCGGCATCTACTGGGCAATGTGTCTTCGGCCCTTAATCTTCCTCCTGAGGAGAATCTTCCTTCCTGTCTTGCTTCGCTTTCGGACGAGGAAACCATGTCTGCGCTTCTGAACAAGTCTAGTGTGTCCGTTCATGGTGTTTCGAGGTCCGCAGCGAATTTGCATATCTCCCATCGCGGGGTGTGCTGAGATGGCGCTTGAAGGAACGATATCGGCCGAGGCAGCTGTCGAGGGGGTGAAGCTTGATGGGAGAACGCTTCTTCGGATGGCGCCGTTCATGGGAGTTAGGGAAGGTCGGAGAGGAACGAGAGTTGTGAATGTCCTAATGAGGTCAGAGATAGTTTGATAGAGGTATTTCGAGGGTCGTACCTGGGTGATTGAGAGAGGGACTTGGTCAGGACTGGGCGCGCGAGGCGCGTGATTGATGAGAAAATTGTGTTCATTGTGACTTGTAGCACGCAGCGTTGGAGAGACTGCGGCTGATGGGTTGATGTTGTCGGCGGTAGAGTTGATGATGTTGAATGTCAAAATTTTGGGCGAATCTCGGAATTGACGCCGCCATCATGGTGGGGCAGCTACCCTGTACTATGATGAGATGTCGAGATACAAACTCATGCGTACTAAACAATAACAGGTTTAGAACCAGGACGCTTCATGTGCATTTCGTTGATCTCCTGAATAATTTCGTCCGTCTTCGAACGCCATTCCAGCGAAAACTGAGTGTACTACGCCTGAACAGTTGACTTTGGGATATGCTCAAGCTCAGACTTGGTCAAGTATCGGCGCAAATATTCAAGAGCATCGCTCAAGTCGTAATCTTGGGCGCTATGCAGTCCACCCACGGACAGGCGATCGACTTTGCCACAGAAGGCGTATTCCCAAGGTGCAGCGAGTACGGTCAAGCCAGGCTCTTCAAAGATGACCTCCCTCTGGTTTAATGCCTGTGCAGTGAGTGAGTGTTGTTTGTCCTTGGGAATGAAGAATGCTGTGCGGTTGTTTAGCCAGTCTCTCGTCAACGTCTTGTCAATCTTGGATGCAGCCCGAACACCAGCTTTCAATCGCTCGAAGTCTTCTGCTGTCAAGTTGTTGTTGAAAAAATCGACATCGTGAGTAGTCTCACGGGACCTGAGGTAGATAGTATTGACAGCACCGCCGACAGCAATGATGGTTACGTGTCCTTTTTTCTTGTTGATTGCGGCTGCAACATTTGAGAGAGCAGCAAGTAGAGTCTCACGTCGAAAGGTTGAGGTAGAACCATCATGACCAGGGTTCCTCTCCGGGGCAAGTTGAAGCAAGGTGTTGACGCTTCTTTTCTGCTTCCAGTCAGATGCGGCTTGGCCCATGATGTTATAGCTGAACAGGTATTATGAGTTTGAAGCTTTAGAGACAGTAAAGAGGTAGGTGATAAAGAGGAGTGGGCAAGTGGTTGAAAGAAGTAAGAATATAGAGTAGGATTTTTAGAGACAAAGGATCAGGCAGCAATTACAGTGAAAATCAGTAATAAACAGTGACAGATAGCAGTAAATCGTATCGCTGTTGCCTATGAAAAAAAGCTAATCAAAATTAAATAAAATGTTCTTCTCCTACTCAACTCTACTCCAACACCTCAACAACACAGGATTCAAAATTACAAGCATTACACAAATACGGTTCGTAACCATCGGGCTTTTCCTTAATAATTTATACTGACATCTATCAGGTTACGCTCAGCATCCATGCCATTCCTTTCAGCTTTGCGCGTTGCCTGCGCGAATCTGGGCTGTTTTGGTGCGCCGACCAACATACACGACGATGCACCGAATGCCACTTGGTTACTTGAGCATCGATGCCAGCGCTATGGGAAACAAGCTTCCACCAAGGGCAAAACCCCTACTGCATCTCTCTATCGAATGTACGAGTATTTGGTCGTTGGGTATACTTTCGGCCTTCGCTCTGAGATTGAATACTTCTTCAATCAGCCTTGGTCTGTAAAGTCAATACCAGACCCTGAAGACCCAGATCCAGCCCGCTACGCGATCCTCGCCGTCCTTACTCACTATCTCGTTAAGGCCTTCAATCGACTTATCGAAAGAGGATTACCACGAGGATGCCCTGCAATCATCGATCCAGACACAGAGGCAAGGCTCCGGTCTCAGAAGGTAGTCCTTGAAGAACAGCCATCTTGGGTAAAATCTGTGCATCGTCTTAACGAGCCATTTAAAATCCCACTTGCATCTGGAGAAACACCAGCGAACACTACCCTAAGTGTCGAATTCTTAGCAATGAATATTTTTGTTGCTGAACCTCACGTTGCGTTCGTTTGAAGGGGGCAGGATGGTGGAATGACCGGGCGTGTTGGTTGTTGGTTGAGCTGATCCTCCTCCGGCCAGGTGATGACCTCAACCTGTGTTCTGGGATCAAATCATTTTTATCATCGACCCGGATATCATATTCCTACAGCATCTTATCGCCAGAAATACTCCAGAAACAAGCGAAGTCAGATAACTTGATCCTTCGGATTACCACTTTTGATTTAATTGTTGGTTGTTCAGCTTTGAGTCCTGCGCTCAACCCCTGCAGAAAGCTGAAGGAATTGCAACAACCAACAGCATATATGTACAACACTGCCCAATAACATCACAACCCAGTGTTTCAAAACTTCCAGTTGGGTCTACGTGGACTCGACCCGAACCTTATATGGTCTGTGAACTATTTTGGTTTCTGCACTCAGCAACTGGTGTTCTCAGAGATATCTGCACTGCCCCCGGTGTTGGCCAGAAATTCAGCCGTGTTTCTCATGAGCCAAGAGATGCTGTACCGGAAAAGGATTCGCGAAGTCCTTCAACTGGCGATATCTTCGCTTTGACACGATAAACCCTTGACTGCAAGTGGAGTTGAACAATACCTGGCGCCTAGTTGCATGGAAATTGATGTGATGGCATTGCAGACCTGCATACTTCCTTCATCAATTGAAAGATGGCATGGCGCAGTAGTTACGATACCAAGACCGAGCGGTTTCGGGAGGCATATAATCGCTGAAGTCCAAATTACGTAGAGAGCAATAAACCGTTTCTCTCTCCAATTGTCCAGATATCCTTATTTCGCTTTTCCTTTCTCACTTTTGCCATAGCATTTCATTAACTTATCCCATCATGGTTGGCCCAGTTGATGTTCTTACAATGCACTCTCAAACTCCCCCTCGAACTCCTTTCAAATCTACTGATGGACTTAGCCCTAACAAGCAGAGTTCAGTCCAGATACGGTCAGAGTCTCCTACTGACTCGGGTGTCGGGGACGTATTTGATGATGCTACCTCAACACCAAACCGCTCACCTCCCAGTATCGTTGAACCGGACGATTCCAAGAGCTCAATTCAGGCCGAGAAGGATACCATGCCAGAGGATCCATTTGATAGTCAGCACAATCGAATACTCTTCGATGCCATCGATGCGCTGCAGTCTTTTGGGGCTGGAGAGTTGAGCATTCCTCAGGTATATACCATCAAATGTGCGAAAAGGTGATATACTAACAAATGATAGCTCATCATTGTTGGAGGCCAATCTTCTGGAAAGTCGTCTCTTCTACAGAGCCTGACTGGTATCCCATTCCCCGTTGACAGCGGATGTTGCACTCGATTTCCTACTCGTATTGTATCTCGACGTACAGAACCAGACAGTGACGATTCCTTTCGCATCACAATTGATCCTGCTGAAGTCGACGTCCCCGGCCTCGACCCTGCTTCTGACAACATCAAGAACTATGAATGTAGTGGCAAGATCCTTACGAAAGAGAAGTTTGCCAAGGTTATTGAAGAGGTAAGCCTTTTGTTAGCTTCAATTATCACTGAGCTAATTCTAGCAGATTTCGTCCGAATTCATGGGCCTCCGAACGGGCATGGGGCATGACAGAAAGAACTTTGTAGCAGAGGTTCTCAAGGTCGAGTTGTCTGGCCCGCAACGCTCCTACTTTAGCATTCTAGATCTTCCCGGCACATTTCAGAACGCATCTACCGTCAACGAGACAGACCAAGCCAAGGTTGAAGGCATGGTCAGGGAATACATGAACAACGAAGACAACATTGTAATGTGAGTCACGTCATTTATTCCTCTAAAAATACTCATTCTAACCTTCCTCAGTTGTGTTGTTGATGCCCCTACGGACTTCGATCGACAGGAGATCTTGAGACTAGCAAAGAAGCCTATCAAACAGGACCGCTTCGTTGGTGTTTTCACGAAATGTGACATGGTTCAACATGAACCCGAAGCAGCAAAGAGAGTAAGTTCAGTGCACTCTTAGTCGTATACACCTTTCTAACGTCAATCAGATTGTATCAATTGCAACCGGCAACTCTACTCACAGTCTCGGAAGCCTTCGTGATGGCTGGTTCCTTGTTAGAAACCGAGCAGACAAGGATCCAGACTCTTTCGATCTTAGCACCGCAGAAAAGAAGCTATTTGGTAGAACTCCCTGGAACTCTGTTTCTCAAAGGCGCCTGGGGTCATCAGCGGCCAAATCATATCTCGGAACTCTCTTGAGTTCAAAGATCCGAGAATGCTTCCCAACACTTCGCACCACAATCCAGCACAACCTCGAAGAAAGGCTGCAAGAAAAGACCATGCTTGGGGAGCCTCGCCTTAGCCATGCCGCAAGACAGCAGTATGTTGTTGGCACTGTTCGGAAATATGAGGAGAAGGCACAAATTGCACTCGACCGTCCTGGATTTCTTCATCCTAGTATGGAAATCTGCAGAGAAGTCAGCCGTTTAAATGCTGAGTTTGACAAGTTCATGCGAACTCATGGCGGGACTTGGCACTTTGAAGATATTGATGTTGACCCTCTTGGTCTGATTGAAGAGCGCATGGCACTTCAAGCACAAGCCAGCGCTGAAGGTCGAACCGTTCCTCCTTATGCTCGGAAGGCCCCCAAGGCAGCAGTCGATGCCTCCTTGAACAAAGCATTCCCTGGTCTATCTGAGGTTCGAGACACGGACGATCTCATGAGAACAATCAATGAAAGATTATCGACATACCAAGTGTCTCAACTTGATGGGGTCATCAACCCTGATATTTATCCGGATATGTACCAAGAACAAGTCAAGAAGTGGACTGCTATTGCAGAGTGTCATCTCCGGCGCGTTGCTGCAACAGTCAGCAGTTGCACGGGCTCTATACTCGATGCTGTCTGCCCGCTCGAGGGAGATACGGGGCTTATGTCAAGAGAACTTAGAGCTCTACTGGCATCGTCATTCCGTCGATGTGAGGCTCTAGCATACGATCGTTGCAAATCCCAGTGTGAGATGGAAACGAGATGCACGAGGTTACAGTCTACTGGATCTCGATTTGGCGATGAAATCCTTAACTGGAGACGATTCAGATTCTTCGAAGCATTCAGCAACTCTTACACAGGCCCGGACAGCAACCTTGCTCTTTGCTTCAACTCCATTCACCCAAGTCTCCAGAAGAACATGGTTATCGATGTCCATGATGTACTCAAGGTCTATTATAAGGTATGGTAAATGCTTCTCTTCGACGAACAATACTAACTTGGCAAGATTTCACTGGATGCCTTCATTCGAAACGTCAACATGCATGTCATACAGTCATTCGTCACTGCTGAAGATGGTCCAGTTTGGGGTCTGAATACGAACCGAATTCTGGGTCTTTCGGAGGAAGAGATGAGGGTTGTTGGTGGAGAGAATGAGAATACTGCTAGGAGACGAAAGGAGCTTGAACATGATATTGAGAAGCTGCGTGGTGCTCTGGCTATTGTTGATAGGGCGACGCGACAGACAGCGAATTTGGAGAGGGATTGATGTAGGATATCGGCTGGTTGGAGTTAATAACATTTGTGTATAGGCAATGGTTCAGAATCTATTCCTGTGGTATATCGCTATAATGCCTCACTTGCTGTCCAGTTCATACTTCACTTCCGTAAACTCCTCTTCAGCCCCCTTCCACCAATCTCTCTTCAAAACCTCCTCCCACTCAATAGTCATCATAATCTCACCAAAGTAATTCACCTCTCCCTTCTGCACAAAACCCAACTTCTCAAACAAAGCTCGACTGCCCTTATTCCCCTCCTTGATCTTCACCATCAACCCCTTCAGTTCTTTCGCTCCATACTCGGCAAGTATTCCATCGATGTGCTTTCGGATATACACAAGTAGTGCGCAAACTGCTGCTCGACCAAGACCCTGTCCGCGATGCGATGGTGAGGCGATCATGACGTCTACTTCGCCAGTAACCCAGCCCGCATCTGCTGATTCATCTTCATCATCGCTTTCGTAGGGATATAGGAAGAAGTTGATGTCTCCGCGCATAAGGGCATCTGCGTCTGCTGTACCAGCTTTAATCGGTGCTTCTTGAGTGGGTGCGCAGACGATAAAGGTGAGTTTATCAGATGATGTGCGCCATGATTGTTGGTTCTCATATTCTTCATCCAAAGTCATCGGCTCTGAAGCTGTAGCTTCTTGAATGTCCTACGATGTGTGAGTTGAGTTGAGATGCAGATGGTGTGAGAGCTTACTGGATCTTGCATCCATGCGTGGTATTGTTGCACATGGTGTGCTTCGTATGGGACGAGCAAGGCCTTGCTTGTCGAAATAGCTACTGTTCATCAATAATCTGACCAGATTTATAGTGGGATTGATATTGACCTGTATTCTGGTTGATCTTCATTTTGAGGTTGATTGGTGTGAGTTGTGAGTTCAACGTTCTCACACCATTGGTGAAAAATGACTTAGATGGGGCACAAAAAGGTTTAACAACCACATACAGCAAATAGGAATAAATCTGATTTACACTATTATACATATTTTACAGCTCTCATCACTCATTTCTTTTCTTCGGAATCCTCTTGTTTACCATCTTTGGCCTCTTGAGCCAAGGCGCTCGCCACTTTCCCTAACCGATTCTTGGTCTTGCTCTTTGGTGCTTTGATTGGAGTGGTAGGTTCTTCAACGGCTGCAACAGGAGGGAAAAGAGTCGCAAAAGCATCGGGTTTGGCGCCCTTTGTTGGTAGAGCTGGTGTGCCATATTCGAGATCAGCGTCCTTGCGGGCGAATTCGATGGTGCGTCGCTCTGCCTTGACGCCTAGACCGTCTAGCAGCTTCTGAGCCTTGGTAGGCATAATTGGCTGGAGAAGAATGCCGGCAATTCGTACAGCTTCAGCGCATCGGAAGATGACCCAGTCAATACGAGTTCGAGCATTAGGGTCTGTGTCTTTGACCATCTTCCAAGGCTCGGTGTCAGAAAGGAGGCGGTTCGCCTAAGAAAGTTAGCAGCTTGTACGTTCAACAAGATGGGCATGAGTTACCTCTCTAAGAAGCTCAAAGATACCCCGTAGCGCGTTACTCAAGTTAATCTCGTCCATATCACGTCGGATAGTCTCTGGTGCGTTTTCCAACGTTGATTCAAGACTCATAAAATCGGGTTCAGTCCCTTGAAGCACAGTGCTCTCAAGGTTTTCGAATTTGCCATCCCGAGCAGCTTCAACAGAGCCCTTGGTCGACCATGCAAAGTTCTTATTGCGAGAAATGCGGTTGAACAAGTTTCCAATATTAGCCTGAAGCTCTTTTTCGTAGATGGCCATGATAGACTCGTTTGAATAGCTCATGTCACCCTTTAGACTGCCGTTTCGCATGAGAAAGTATCGTAAAGGGTCAAGATCCCACTTCTGCACGGCGGAGAAGGGGTTAACGACGTTTCCGAGCGACTTGGACATCTTGCGATTGGACATGGTCCAATGGTTGTGGCAGAGAATCTTCTTTGGTAGAGGGATACCAGCAGCCATGAGAAGAGCAGGCCAGTATACTGCGTGGAATCGAATAATGTCCTTGCCGACGACGTGGACATCTGCTGGCCAAGGACCCATGTCAGCATCGTCAACCTGCCACTTGGAGCCATATCCGGCTTTGGTGAGGTAATTGACGAGAGCATCTACCCAAACGTAGATGGTGCTGGTTGGATCTTCAGGATCTCTGATTCCCCAGTTCAATCTTGCTGTTGGGCGAGTAACTGAAAGATCCTCAAGTTTGTTCTCAACCCAGTGTCGTACTTCGTTCATGCGATGAGCTGGTTGGATCCAATCGGGGTTTTCGTCGTAGAACTTGAGTAGCTTGTCTTTGTACTTGGACAAAGGAAAGAACCACGTCTGCTCAGAAATCCACTCGACTTCGTTTCCTGTCTCAGTGCTAGCCATGATCTTACGACCAGTTTGCGGCACAACACTAGGTTCAACCAGATCCTCTGGGTAGAAGCATTCATCACTAACACAGTACCAGCCCTCATGCTTTCCCTTGTACAAGCCCAAACCTTCAGGAGCACGAGCCTTGAGAAGAAGCCAGAATTGCTGAACAACATCTTTATGGTCTTGATCAGTAGTTCGGATAAAGAAGTCGTGATCAATATTGGCAGCTTCAGCAAGACTCCTGAATTTCTCCGAGTTATTGTCGCACAACTCTTTGGGTAAAATACCCTCCCTTGAAGCTGCTTGTTGGATTTTCATGCCATGCTCGTCTGTTCCTGTACATAGGTAGGCTTCCTTGCCATTAATCACTTGCCATCGTTTAAGAACATCGGTCAAGACCATAGTATAAAGATGGCCAATATGGGGAGCTACGATCAATTAGCAAAGTATAGACTAAGATATAATAAAACTGACCAGCATTGACATAAAAAATAGGCGTAGTCACATAATATGGCTTCTCGTCAGAGCTCTTTGAGCTACTCCATCGTACAGTCGATGTTTGCAAGACTCGACATCCTGGTCGAATCAAACAAGACTGACGAGATAATCTCGACTGTACTTGTCGCAAGCCTTGTATTGATTGAAGATTGAAAGCTCTCATGACAATTTTAAGCTTCTAAGAGCTGTCGTTTGACAAGCGGAGATGGCGTTACCTGCATTTGACTTCGAGATGCCCCGGAAAAATGCACCGTGCGCATTGGTTTCTCCGATAACTGTCCATTTTTCATCATCGCAGGCAGGCATCGAAACTTTGTTGACAGTGAATCACATTGCGCCAACCACAATAATCTCGATACTCTTCACATCCTCCGGCTTTCATCCATTTCGATTATTTCTCCATTTACAAACACACATTCCAGTACCACTATGCCGGCCCCAAACAACACAAACGAGGTGGGAGCCTCGAGTAAAGGTTCGTCCTACCATCGCGAAAACTTGCTTGCAGACCTAACAAATACAGCGGCTGAGAACTTCACCACCCACTACTATGAAGCCGTCAACAGACACCAAGATCTCCTTCCCTTTTACATCAACTCATCGTCACGATATCCTGTCTCTGCTGACATCTCCATCAATGGCGCCGTCCTGCCTACACCCGCCGATTACTCGAAGCTCCTCGAAGTTCAAGGCAAGGACGTAAAGTACGATATCGAATCCCTCGACGCTCATGTCCTCAACCCGACGTTCACAATGGGCGCGCCCGAGAACATCTACGATAACGCAAAGAGAGAAAGAAACGGCGAGAAAATGAGCATTCTCGTCACCGTCATGGGAAGAGTGAAGTACGGAAAGGGCGAAGAGGCGCCGCAGAAGATGTTCAACGAAACATTCGTCCTCGTGCCCAACTGGGAGGCTATGACAAAGCTTCCTCCCAGAGGCATCAAGAAATGGTTGATCATGTCCCAAAACTTTCGCGCCCTGTAGGGATGGGCGACAAACGAGGAGATACCGACAACCACAACAGCAAAGGCTTTTGAGATGACCTTTGGAAGGGCTAGAAGTGCTCTTAGTGAGAATACCAACAAGGCCAACTCTGCTAAGCAGCCCCGAGTCAAGAAGGCATAGGATGCAGTTAATAATTCCCCAGAGGCAAACAGAGAGCGCCGGCCTAGACAGCGTCGACAAAGACGAAAGGCTTCCCCGGAGCATCAAAACACATTCAGAGTGGAGGATTTTATGGCGCATGCAGATGGCAATATGACTCTCGGATGATTACAGCTTTCATTCAGCTTTAGACTACTAGACAGGCAATGATTTAATGACACCCCATTTGTTTGCCTCGGAACGTGCTTCTACGTGCTTGTATTGTTCTTTGCTATGGCTTCGAGAACAATAGCTTCATTTTGGCGGGGTAACATCCCCTGCAACCATCTCCATAGAGCAAAAATGTACCAAGTGACAAACCCCACCATCCATCACCACGAGCTCTCTCCAACTCTTGACAATGCCACCCAAGACAAAAGTCGTCCCCAAGGTCGAGCCCCCAGGTAAGTAACTCCCGACTATATCTACCTCTTTCCCTCTACTGACGTTGTCTGCAGCTGCTCCAGAATCTCCCCCAGACACCATCGCCCAGCGCTCAGAACAGCGCTTCTTCCAAACAAACCCCGTCGAGAAACGCCGTCAGCAAGTCGGTCTATCGTCTCTGACGCCCGCTGAAAAGAAGACTTACGCACACGTTCATCTTATTCACCCCGCCGTTAACCGTCGCGTACCCTTCTCCAACAAGACAGAGCGCGAGTTCTGGAAGTTTGTCACAAAAGAGGGTCTTCCCATCCGCAGACTCCCCCGCGACCACGCCTGGGGAACAGACCGAACCGGACGAGATATCGGATCATACTCGCCCGCTGAATTCGAGCAACGCACCCTCAAGCACAGCAAGCTCACCTCGCTGCAGATCCAGCACCGCCAGTTCCTCAGAAAACGAGAGCTAAAGCACGAGATAACCGACGAGGACATCACCGCTGAAAAGACGAGGAGGAAAGCCATGGCTGCGCTCAAGAGGGAATTGTACGGCGAGATCACGGGTACTCTGTCTCAGGACCCTGAGTGGGACGATGTGATCCCCATTCCACAGAACGAGCCCGAAGGCGCCCTCGCGCAGATTGCCTACCCGGACGATTACGCCGAGGGTACGTCCTCCGCAGCCCAAATCTAAAGGAGTGACTGACTGAAAAGCATCTTAGCCGTCTCCTACCTCCGCGCCGTCATGGCCGCGGACGAGTGCTCACCTCGAAGTCTTCGTCTGACCGCGCACGTCATTTCCATGAATCCAGCGCATTATACCGTCTGGTTGTTTCGTTTCAAGATTATTTCCACTCTCAAGCTCAGCATCCCTGACGAAATCAAGTGGTTGAACGAGGTTGCTTTGGCTAACCTGAAGAACTACCAAATCTGGAACCATCGACAGCTTCTCATGGACTACTATTATCCCCTTATTGAGGAGGATGATCAGACGATTCGAAAGCTTGCTCGTTCCGAGACTCAGTTTATCACCCGGATGTTGGAAGAGGATGCCAAGAATTACCATGTATGGTCTTACCGTCAGTATCTCGTCTCTAAGCTGTTCATGTGGACCATGGGCGAGCTTCTGTCTACACAGAACCACATTGAAGAGGATGTGCGAAACAACTCTGCCTGGTCGCACCGTTTCTATCTCGTCTTTTCAGACCCAACAGCCTCCACACGTGGATCTGGACCTCTTGATGCAGACCCTCGTATCCCAGCAGAGACGCTCGATCGTGAAATCAACTACTGCAAAGAAAAGATCAACCTTGCCCCTCAAAACCAATCTCCATGGAACTACCTGTTTGCCGTTCTGTCCAAGGGCGCTCGTCCCCTGTCCTCGCTCAAGGAGTTTGCTGAGGGCTTTGTCAGTGCACTGGGCGAGGATGCAGAGGAGGTTCGCAGCTCTCATGCACTTGACTTCTTGGCCAAGCTCTACGATGAAGAGGGTGACAAGGAGAAAGCTGAACTGTGTCTGCGACGATTGGGCGAGAAGTGGGATCCTGTACGAGAGGGATACTGGAAATACCGGGTGCAGCTGTTGAAGAGTGGTGCGAAGGAGTAGACTGTTATCTGGCATGCCTTGAGTCCAATATTTGCACCTGTATGACTGGAGACGATCGATAACGAGCATGGACGAATAGAAGAACATTGCATTACTAAATTATAACCATATATGTGCCCCAAAGTGAAGGCACCAAACTCCAAATCAAGCGACTCCTTTCCCAACCGCTTTCTAAAATTTCCCGGTCATGTCTGGCGTCGCATGGCTTATAACCCTAGTAATACATTGGAGTGAATGCCTGAACAGCTTTGAGCACGCCTTCTTTTTCTTTATTAGTATTTCTTACTCGCTTTCAACCCTCCAGAACTTCCATCCTTCTCGTTCTCCAGTATCACCATGAACTCCTACGAGCTTCTCGACACCTTCAGTGCCTTCAGCCTCGAGGAACTTCTCTAAGTCAATCTCCATACCACCCTCGTCATCTTCCTCTGTACCGTTCTTGAGAACAGCTGGCCAAAGAACACCAATACCGTCACCACCGAGTGTAGTCTCAAATTTGGCGTAGTTCTCGGCTTCAAGTTGTCCTTCAAGTTTCTGAAGCTTCTCAGCAGGAACGTCAGGTCGAAGAAGAGTGATTGAGCAACCACCGCCACCAGCACCAGTCAATTTTGTCCATCCAATACCAGCATGGTCGACTAGCTCTCGTACTCGCTCCAGACGGGGGTGAGAGACACCCAGTGAATTTAGCAGGCCATGGTTGATGGTCATCAACTCACCAACCTTGCTGAGATCCTCCACAGATTTGTTGTCGAAAGACGTCTCCTCGATCAGCTCAGAGGCAGCATCTGTGACCTTGTCCATGGCATCCAGAATCGTGTTCACAAGCTTGGGGTGGGTCTTCTTGAGCGTTGCAACCTTGGCAACCTCGTGTGCGGTCGACTTGGCCTGTCGTGTGTCTACCAGCAGGAGGGGCAGTTCAGGGAAGTCCCAAAGAGGTCGAACCTTTGGTGGCTTCGAATAATCTGTTCGCTGGAACACCACGGCCTTACCTTGTGTAGCAACGGTATTATCAACACCCGAGGGGTTGCCATGAATACACATTTCTGATACAAACGCCCATCTATTGATTCTTTCGACTTGGAGTCGGGCCTCGTCCGCAGGTTGATCAGGGTGGGGACCAGACAACGTCCGTAGCTGTAGAAGAAGGGCGGAAGCAAGGCATACTGAAACTGAAGCACTGCTGCCCAATCCGGCACCTATTGGTATTGTCGAGCGGAGAGTGTAAAGACAAGGAGGGAATGAGGGCGATCCTAGCGATAGGAAAAGATATAGGAAAGCTGACACAGAGCTGTGGTGTACTCTTCGAATCTCCTCGGGGTGGTTAGGAGAGACAACTTCGATATGTGGTTGAATAGCAGCAACAAGATCGGGGTCGAGCTCTGTCACGAGAGAATAGTACGACTTCTTTTTGGATGGTTGTTGGAAGGTTCCCCATGGTAGGTCGTCAATGTTCCATGTGTGAACGAGATCGATATCGGCGAATCGGAGGGAGACGGTTCGTTTCGACTTGGAAAGGGTGGTAACGTGTAGGTAGGACCGCAGAGAAATGGCTGCGGCGATGGCTGCCTATGCGCCACGATGTAAGTATGAATTTAACAATGATACGACCATGTCATACCTTTCCGTGAACAACAGAGTGTTCGCCAAAAACAATAACCTTTCCTGGTGCTGATACCATGAAAGGAGGTGCCATAGGGCTAGACATTTTGCGGTTGAGTTTCATGCGACGTGGACCGCTGCCATTGCTCGATTCGCCAGATGTTTCCGAACCAGAATCCGACGTATGACTGTGGACGCCATTGCCATTGGCATGGTTGCCATTGAGATTGAGCCCGTTAACCATGGCTGGGGTCAAAGAAGGCATGATGGTTCGAGGTTGTCGCGCGTCTTGGGCCGGTTCTCAATGCGTGTTAGATCGTACCTGTCAGTCGGTAGGTAGATGAAGTCTGTGCGTTATTGTGTTTCGCGTTCGGAAATAAATCGTGGAACGTTTGTTTATAGGAAATGTTTGAAGTGGAACGATGTTTAACGACAGTAAGGAATAGATGTATGTAGAAAGAAGAAATTGCAAGGAAGAAGTTGGTTGCTTGGGGACGGTAAATTAGAGGTTGTTGTTCGGTGCTATCGTCAGGGGGTGGAAAAGTGACCTATGTTAGATTCGAGAGCGGGGGTGTAATAAGTTAAAATAAGTCAGTCGGCAAGTAGGTAGGGGAAGTTTAAAAGTAATAAACCGGCAAGAACGGACCTGCTCTAGCGAATCTAACAAAGTAGATGCAAGTGCAAGTGCGAGCCAGAGGAGAATAATGAATGGGTAAGGTAAGGTAGTCTGGTAATGCAGGATTGGATCGTAGCGTCACAGCAAGAGCTAACGTAGTTGCAGTTGCAGTTGCAGTCCAGAACCAGACGTAACCAACCAAGCCAAACGGCAACGGCAAGTTACTGGCGTGTAATGTGTAATTGAGACCCCCCGCACCTTGGTTCCTTCTCAATGGGTCTTTGTCCCTGGATCAATGTACCTGATGTTTGACACACCTCAGTCAGTTGTTGGCAGGAGCGAGAGGGAACCACCGTCATCCGGAATAGGAAAGGACTCAGATGCAGCCTGCAGACGCTTTATCGTGGCTCTACCAACGAGCAAACAAGATGAGGTGGAACGGCCTTTTAACGAGACAGGGCCTAACGACTTGGGGTTACAATCTAACTGCTATAGTCGATCTTTAGTCTATATAGAGGAAGACAGAGTAATAATCACCTCTAAAAAGATGAGATTCTCTCTGTCTTTTGCAGACGTTGTTGATTCAATTGACTGCGTAATGCTGCGACGCCAATTGGAAGAACTCAAAATAGCGGTCTAGCACCGGGGTCTAGGCTTTTAGGGGTATTGGTCTGGTACGGTATCTGGAGATTTGAGCCCACCACGACGACTTACACCCGGTTCTCCGCGATTTGTCGATACAGCAACCGATAGTGGAAAATCGACTGAGCAAGCAAAAGAAGTCTTAGCGAGTTGCAACAAAGGAATGTAAGGACGCAGATGTCTGAAGCAAAGAGACAGAGCTGAGAGCGATTAAAATGTCTGGTAAATAGGCGTCGATACCTGCAAGGGCGCGTGATAGATGACGATGACAATTAATAGGACATCCCCGAAAACACTCAGCAAGGCGTATGACAGCCCCTGCCCCCGCGTTCCAGCTGAATCAATACGCTAGACAAGACGTTGTTCCTAGAGGGAAACGCTCCGGTTGGTCTGGACGTATCTGTAAATCAAGTAACGAGACTCTTTTCAGCTGCGACACAAAAGTCCAAGCCTCGAAATATCTGCCGAAGCTCAGGAGGTTGAAATTTGGAGTCGTTACGATTACGTCGTAATGCGGCGAAGCTAAAAGATGACGACAGCTGGATATTCCATCTTTGGTGCCTGCAGGCTGCAGTACAGTAATTGCGGCACAACCTTCAAAGGCTCGGCATAAAAATACAGCAAATCTTCCTAACAGAAAATCCTCCGAAATCGCATATTTCAAGTTCGGTGTTTTCTGTCCCCTCCATATCCATGGTGTGGCTGCATGCATCTTCCGACTGGACGTCTTCAACCATCCGAAAGACAGCAACTCCTCTTTAGAGACTGCAGAATATCACTTTTCGTATTCGCATACATTTTATACGAATACATAACCAGTGAAACAACATAACAAAACGATGGCAGCACCAATCACTTCCGCATGGAAGATTATTCCAACCTTTAAAACACAATCAATTGAAAAGAATATTGAATTTTATGTCGATTTCCTTGGTTTCGAATTAGGTGGGGTAAAGCCGGAGGGTTTGCATCCTTCTGAGTATACATTCTGCTCAGTTTTTGCTGGAGACAAAGCTGCAGCCAATATCTACTTCTTTAAGCCGAAGGATGGCATTGTCAGACCAAGCTCCGCTTACATTGCTCTGGGCACTGATCAGCTAGATATGCTGTACAATACTATCAAGGTTCAGAGGAGTGAAGTCATTGTAGAGCATGTTCAGGATCAGCCGTGGGGTTATCGGCAGTTTGCTATCAAGGATCCTAACGAGAACACGTTGACTTTCTTCAAGTTTCTAGAGGGCAGGAATCCTGGAGAAGAGTAGGATTGCGTAAGACTGTTGAAGCAATCAGGGTTGCATCGCGTTCAGTTGAGGTTACCAAGCACAGTCAGCGGGCTTGGTATGGCAGTTCAGTCGCTCATGTACAACCTCAAGATAACAATCTCAAAGTACTTTCAACCTGCTCGAGCATTGGGAAAGTTTTGGATTGTCGCTCTTGAGTTTTCAACTAACAGCGACAAGGCAGTATTGCTGACTACGTTCACCAGGCATCGCAATGCCGCATCACCAACAGAACCCCGCTTCACGTAATTTGGAGATGCCTAATCTACATCAACCTTTATTATGAGCGCCAGCGTCTCCATTGTAAGAACTTCTTTTCTGGTTTGCCATCTGGAAACATAGCCATTACCGAACTATCATGATGGACGCAGGAGTCGTGGAAGTCGCTTTCATACAGCTGCAAGCTCAGTACAACGCACAGAAGCTCCAAGATATCATCAAGAGAACACAGCAGATACAAGCTCAATGGATACGCCAACACCAGCCAAAGGTTCTTGAGGGAAAGCCTTACGACTATACAACAGACGCATGGATTGACGAACTATCGTCATATCTGCTCCTAACAGCTCCATGGGAATCCGTGGATGGACACAACGAATGGATCCAAAGCCAAGAGAACATCTCTGTGATGCAAGGGCTCAAGCAGTTCATCTGCCAAGATGAGGGTGCCGTGGATCTGTATCACTTGACGCCTGTGGGGGAAAACAACGAATTTCGGGGCGATATTCTTGCTCGAGGGCCGGTAAAGGTCTGGAAGATATCAGTGAAGCCAGAACAAAAAGCAAAGCTCCAGGAGGAATATCGTGCCATTGAGACCAGATCCTCTACAGAGCCGAACCAAAGGATGTGGGCGGGATGGAAGGTAGAAAACGAGAACACTGAAGATCTGGTCATCCTCGCATCTCCAGGCTTCGAAGAGGTGGTAGAGTCGGGCATTGCAGTCAGATTCGATGAAGCCAAGGTCTCTCGCTTCGAACACAAGCCCTTTTTGCATTAGCCAAAACACAGCATCACCGAACAGCAAATCTTGACTCGAATCGTTCTTTTTATTTTTTTGGAATCATCCGAGTATCCTCCTTTCAGAGCACATGATAAATGCAAGGTATCCCGAGACGCCCATTTGCTGCATGTGAATCCTCCCACAACCAGAGTTACCCGTTCCCGTTCAATTTTCAAACCACCATCGTTTAAGTAGACTTCTTCTTGGAGGAGACGTCGGTGAGTTGCAGGTCTGATGCGTGTGTCAGTAAAATTTTGTGTGTCTATCGTGAGGTTTTCGTCGGAGCATACTGGGGGGAAGGCTCTGCTTGAGCTTCTCGGCCTTGTCGTTGTCCTTAAGCACGAGAGTGTAGAGGTGCTTCTGGCAGCGGACCTTGAACTTGATGTTGTTGGTCTGCTTGTTCTTCTTGATGCGTGCGGCTGTTATCAAATAGTTAGAGTCGATATCCGTGATATGGGGTAAATTCGTCAAAACGTACACGAAGCGTCGCTTCGGCGGCAGATCTCGATGAACTGTGAAATTTAGAGTCAGCATTTCATTTCTCCCTCTCTTCGATAGCTTCAGTATGTACCTTCTTGATGTCGGCAACCTCCTGAGGCATCTTGGGCGATTAGTCTGGGTGGATGAGTTAAAACAGGTAACTTGTCAAAGGAGCGATCGAATTTTGGGAAGGAATTAATTTTGATTCTGTGCGCTCCTTCTCGCGGGGCTTCAGATGCACGGACCACTTAGCGATTGACGGGACCAATTCGGGAAGGAAGGGTTACTCCACCGAGGTGTGGCGTTGGAGAGTACGTGGCGCAGCTGCTTTGGGAGGCAGCAGGACAACTTGGACTTGGGTATTGAATTGGCCACCTTTCATTGTGATATTCGAAGTTACAGTTTCAACATCTATATAAAAGGGTTATTTCGTCTCAATAACCGATTCTTCATAACCAACTTCTACAGTCGACCGTCTGTTGTGTGCTGTCAGTTCCTATTCACCACCGAGCTCATCAGTTCATCCTACGAACGCAACCATGTCTACCAGACTCGATGGCCTTTTAAAGTCCAAGGTTAGTGAAAATGCTCTTCAGATATCACATCTGTCTTTGTTTATACGGCTGAACATTGCTAATTTCTCTACAGAACGTCGTCCTCTGTAAGTGTTCTTCGCCTTTAGGGTAACCCATATGCTAACAGACTCAGTCTTTGGAGGCGTCGTTTCCATGGCAGCAGCATACACAATCTGGGGCAACGATCAGGGAATGTTTCCTCCTATGGCTGATCCTACTGGTGACCCCAAAACATGGACCAGAGAAGAGTGTCAACTGTGGTTGAACAAGGTGAGTTCATGTCCTTGCTGACTTGACAAGTGACGTATGCTGATCTTCAACAGAGAAATTTACACCCAGACCCCAAGGCTACGAAAGAAGAGCTTATCGACAGAGTAATTGCGAATATGCGTATTCCCAGAAAGTAAAGAGTTGGTCGGATAACAGAGTCATTAATTGTTGGTTATTCCTTTTCGCGTTGCTTGATACCACAGCTGAGCTTATTTGCATACAATACCATTGTCTGATGCGACCAAAGTTCCTAATTCAGCACCTATCAATGTTCTTGTGATACGCCAAACTGATAAGACCCAAACTTTAACATTCCTCTTGATAAGGTATTCGTACATTGGATGCTGCCAAAGATCGTCAATCGAGAATCATCGAATCATTCAATTCAAGCCCAGTGGATCTCTTAGGGATACATTGCCGCGTACCGTAAAACATGTACGTTTCATGTACCTCCACTCAACCAACCACCCAACAAGTCCAAGCTGTTAATCGTCTCACCCAGCTGCACGTGCCCAATAACCAACCACTGGGCTGTCTTACTCGCTGTCAGGTACTGGTACTGTAGCACTCAACTCAACTTAATCTTCTCCATGTCATAGTTTCGTGAACTCACGATATTGCTTTTTTTGGCCGCCCTTGACTTTTGCGACCATGGCTACTGAGTAAACGAATTCCCACGGTCACCAATCTTTTGCTCTTCCTGCCATCGAAATAACAACGATTTGCGACTTCGGCGCTTCCATGTTGCGACGTCATATCCACCATAAACACAATGGCATTCCTTGAGGACCCCCGACTGCGACAACGCTGGAATCAGATTGCGCACGATACCGAGACGATAACAGAGAATGCTGCGGCTGGCATTTGGACGTTTCAGCATAATTACATCAACCCTTGCTTCGCATCCATCGCAAACTCGTTTGAACAGTGTACAGCTGTTTGTTTAGGCGACCCCGAAGAACGTTTGCGACGACGAAGAGAAAGAGAACTGTCGCACAGTAGGGCTGAATACAGTTTCGATTTTTATGATGATTGGTACGAGGAAGAGCAGAGTGGTCTCTTTGGCACATGGGGCAACGAGGATTGGGACCGATTGCTGGCTGGGACCGGTAGCTCACGAAAGCATAATGGAGGAGAGACGGAACAGCCACGCAGGAAACGTGGTATGAGTTATGGAACGAAAGACCGACGACGAAAACCAAGTATGGACGATGACCCGACTGTTATTCCCAAGACACAACCAATTGGATTCCTCAGCAAACTACCATGGAAGGTGGGCGGTACTCTACGATACAAACCTAGTGCGGCAGATCTACAGGACCACCCACAGCGACATGGCATTGGGGAGAATGAACCATTGCTATATTCCGATGAAGATATGGACCTCGATCTCAACCTACCGGTGACTAGAAAGCGCAGCGGGACGACAGGGTCGGGCGATACATCGGATTCATATCGATCACGAGGAGATTTATTTCCAAGTGATGGCGAAGGCGAAGAAGACGCCGTTCCATTAGACGATGAAGTAACATACGATATGGTCAGAAAAGACGACAGGAGCGGACGAAGCGGCAGGACAAGCAGTAAAGGCAAAAGACCAGCAGGTCTAGCATCAAGGACGGTTTCACGAACAACATTAGCATCATCTACATCGAACGACAATTTCCGAATGGAGCGTCGATCAACATCATACTCTATTACACCTGATGCACAAGAGACACCAACTTTACACGATTTGGAACGGGAAGAATATCTGCTACAAAAAGAGGAAGACGAGGCTGTGGAGAGAAAGAAACAAGCTGCAGCACAACTTGCAGCAGAAAAGGGTCTTTCAAGGGCTGAGCCACGATCTTCCACTGAAAGAAAACCGCAAGTGGCAGAGGACGATGTTTATGAAGCATCGCCCTCCAAAGCTGCGTGTCAACATGTGGAAGAAGTCGAGGATAAACTACACGTATCAAAGCGAGGCGACTCACAACGTGCAAAGAGTCCACAACAAGACGACCCAGAATCGCCAGAAAAGACAGACTTTGTCCCAGCGCGTTTACCACACTTCTAACGACAAACACAAACACGCTATAATACTAATGAAGTGGCAAGAGATGACTTTATGTACATATGATACCAAAACCAAACCAAACCTGAAGCCAAGTATGGGATTTGAGCCGAAAGATGGAACAGGATAAGTTTAGACGCAGCGTTTAATGAAACATGCACTATTTTCAACAGGGAATGCAGCTCAAAAGGGAATGCAGCGCATCGTAGTAGACTGTGCCGTACGGTTAGGCACATGGCCTTCGCGAATCTATAGCCTAATGCGGAAATGCCTCGGACGTGAATTGGGACTCCCCCGCAAACCGGCAGATCGGTTCCTGATCGGTTCGTGATGTTATAAGAGCCGATCCCCACACGATTGATACGATAGAAGAAGCATTGAAGACTTATATATACCTAACCTCGGATTCGCATCAGCTGACCATAAGATTGTGTCACCGCATACAACATTGACTTGACTCAATACATTATACACACATAAACACACAACACAGACATCGCCAACATGACAGCACCAGGCCCTATAACAACACCACTTACGTCCCTTCTGGGAATCAAACACCCTATAGTCCTCGCAGGAATGGCCAGAGTATCAGGCGGTCGTCTTGCAGCTGCAGTCTCCAACGCAGGCGGTCTAGGCATCATCGGCGGCTTCCAATACACACCCAACCAACTCCGCGAGATCCTAGCCGAGATGAAAGAGAACTTCTCTCGACCTGATCTTCCCTTTGGCGTTGACCTCGCGCTTCCTCAAATTGGCGGAAATGCACGAAAGACTAACCATGACTACACAGGTGGCAAGTTGGATGAGTTGGTGGATATCATCATTGATAGCGGCGCCAAGTTGTTTGTCAGTGCTGTTGGAGTTCCACCGCCTGAGGTGATTAAGAGATTCCACGATAAGGGTATTTTGGTTATGAACATGGTTGGACATCCCAAGCACGCAGTAAGTCACACACTCTGTTTGTTTGCTATTCGCTGACACAATCAGACAAAAGCATTGGAGCTCGGAGTTGATATGGTCTGCGCTCAAGGCGGTGAGGGAGGCGGACATACAGGAGACGTCGCAAACTCGATCCTCATCCCTGCTGTCGCCGACATTGCATCAAAGTACTATCCTCCCCTTCTCAAGGGTCTGCCCGCGTTGGTCCTTGCAGCAGGAGGAATCTACTCAGGCCGCAGTCTCGCAAGCTCACTGATGCAGGGTGCTTCAGGAGTATGGGTTGGCACTCGATTCGTTGCATCCGAAGAAGCATCATGCAGTGAAGAGCACAAGAAGGCGGTAGTATCATGCGGATACGAAGATACCCAGCGAACACTCGTTATTTCTGGACGACCGTTGAGAATGAAGACGAACGAGTATATTCAGAAATGGCATGATCAGCCTAACAAGATCAAGGAGTTGTGCGATAAGGGTATTGTGCCTATTGAGTATGACTTTGAGCAGGGCAACGACTTTGATCTGCCTCATTTGATGGGTCAGGTTGCAGGTGCTATTACCAAGGTGCAGCCTGCTGGAGAGATTGTTGATGAGATGGTCAAGGAGGCTGTTGAGATGTTGAAGATCGGTGGAACGTACTTGACAGCTGTACCGAAGCTTTGAGCTTGTCATAATAGCTGTTGAGCGTTGTATACCTTATTAGAGAACCTGCTTTTTTAGTATAAGAACGAAATAATCTTGTCGCGTTTTTGAACACACTCGTAGACTGTCTATTTTGCACCTGGCCTCAGACCTTGGTATCACCATGTTAGAAGAATTAGCTGCTGAGAGTCTAGGAGATAAAATTATTTGGCTATTCAGGATACGTAAAGAGGCAGGTGCCCATCTCATGCAGGTTTAGACTAACACTTAGGATACACAAAGAGGCAGGTGCCCCCAGCTCTGATGTATTTGACGACCACAATGATCAAACAACCACCATCCAACAACACAGCTACAGGAATTACACAAGGCGATACTCATCAGCAGTTATCTTGCACAACTATCATCATGTCTGCGTTACTTGCAACTCGCGAAGCACTTTTCCCACACATGACCGACGAGTACTTTGAGCGCATCGTGAAACGACGTGGTCACGGTCTTCCAAACCAATACTCTCTCGATGAGACCAATGCATGGATGGATAGAGTCCTCCACGACTTGAGGTCGAGCGAACACGACCTTGAATCCGAAAGAAATACTATTCGACATGCCTGCATCCGTTTACGATGTGTCAAGTGCCGCCGTCCCTGCCAAGAGATCCAAGATGGAAGTTTCGTGGAATCGCACCGCCCTTGTATCTTCCCGTGCGGACATATCATCGGCAGCTCATGCTACGAAGACATGATATTGCTCTACACATATACGGAACTGCAATCTCCAACATGCCCATAGGATGGTAAACGCCCAGAAGATGTGAAAAAAGGCGGCTTGCCATGCTCTCAACGTGTCATATACAACTGTGGCCATCAGAGTTTACATTTCGAAATAGGGGAAAACCATCAGCCGCTTTCAGAGCCTTGGATCAGTGGACTTACAACTTCAAAATGTCGGAAATGCACCATGCAAGATCATCTTGACCAATGGACCACGCAGACCCGTGCTGCACTTGGAAACCCCAACCTTTGGGCAGTATGCGGCAATTTCCTATTGAGAGCGAACCCAGACGAGGATGTAGATGAATCTCAACTGGTCCGGGCACGCGGCCAAGCTTTGCGGATACGAGAGACGGAGCACCATCGGGTTTTCCACGACCTTTGGCGCAGCCCGCCGTTGAACTCTGAGTGGCAGGGAGAACTCTCGCTGATTGTTGCGTATTATACTTTTGAGGAGGGGGAGGAAGACAGCGAAGGAACACTAGTGGGAGAGGAAGAAGAAGATAGTGATTCGACGGTAACAGGACTAGGCATGCATACCCAGTGATTTTTACATGAGGAAGTCGACTACTAAGTAGATAATACACAGTAGAAGAGCTGTCTAGAATACAGTAGCCCAAAGGCCCGTCCAAGCTGGCATAAGTTAACCAAATTATTTCGTCTCACATGCTTTAGCGGCTGATCTTATAATGCCTGACCTACCTAAGTAACAATGACAAGACGATGCTGAAGTATGCGTAAACTAACCAATTTTGTTTTGTGTAGCTGACGTACAGAGTGAATTGTTCATTGAGTGATCAAGAGACTAATATCAGTATGAAGTGTTTGTCTTTGTCTTACGATAACAATCAAGTTTCCTGCTAGGATGTACTCTGTAAATGTATTTATATCCAATCCCAGACACTAGACTAACTTATCAGGGTCCAATAAGCCGCTTGTCATTTGTCTTGAATCGTGTGCCAGTCAAACCCTCTACCATCAGCCGGGGAAACAAAAAAGCAATTTCATGCATCCAAAGCTGAGCCAATAAAACAACAAACGTCATTATTGGGATCGACCAGACCAGGATTGACCATTAATCGTTCTTGGCGATAGGGTCGAAAAACAAGGCTGACGTGTTTGACGTGGCGTCTCAGAGTAAGAGAGTCAGAGTCAGAATAAATAAGCGGTAGAGAGTTCAAAGAGTTCAACTCGGATATGTCGGAATCAGCGTCATACTGAAACTCATCTTCACTTATTACTCTCACTGTAGATCGGAGGTATAAAACTCTGTGGTAAGCTGGAGAATTGTGGATCATTCCTCGCTATTTCCGAAACGATACTACTGTAAACGACTCATGCCCGGTTTCCCTGACATTTGATCTTCTCTTTCTGATCATCATCAAAAATTCTTTTCATCTCATGATGGACGCCCATCAATCAACAGTCGCGGGCGTCGCGGACAGAGTTAAACACTTTCACGCCCGTCAAGAACCCTTTCGACTATATCATGGTTCGACTAACAGCACTCGACACTCAAATCGTCGTGTCGACAACACCGTCGATACCAGCAAACTTAACAATGTCATCGAAGTGAACAAAGATTCAAAAACTGTCATTGTTGAACCAAATGTTTCTATGGAATCGCTGGTCGATGCGACGCTGCCTCATGGTTTGGTGCCGCTTGTTGTTATGGAGTTTCCGGCTATTACCGTCGGTGGTGGCTTCTCGGGAACATCGGGAGAGAGCAGTTCTTTCAGATACGGCGCTTTTGATGCGACGGTGAATTGGATTGAGATTGTTCTTGCGGATGGAACTGTTACCAGAGCTTCGAAAGAGGATCAGCCGGATTTGTTCTGGGGTGCTGCGTCGGCGTTCGGAACTCTCGGGGTTGTTACTTTGTTAGAAGTGCAGCTCAAAGACGCAAAGGAGTTTGTTGAGCTCAAGTACAGACTTGCGAGGGGTCCTGCTGAGTCTGTCAAGATTATCAAAGAAGAGTCAAAGAGATGGGATAACGATTATGTGGATGGTATTGTTTACTCGAAAGACACGACTGTTATATGCACTGGACGCCTTGTTGACGAAATCCCGATAAGTGCACAAATAAGACATTTGAATCGACGGAAAGATAAGTGGTTTTATCTACATGTCGAAAAAGTAAGAGATGGATTACGGATGGGTTCAGTAACATGCGTGGCCGATTACATCCCGTTAAAGGACTATCTTTTCCGCTACGACAGAGGAGGCTTCTGGGTTGCGAAGTACGCATTTGACTATTTCATCACGCCTTTCAACCGCGTTACACGATATATCCTGGATCCCCTTCTTCGAGCAAAGGTCATGTACTCAGCAGGCCACAAGAGCAATCTGTTCGACTACTACATGGTGCAAGACGTCGGCGTACCATACAGCAGCGTGCCCGAGTTCCAAAACTGGTTGGACAAGCAGTTCAAGATCTATCCTCTCTGGATATGTCCTCTACGAGTGCGGCGCGATGAGCCTAATTCTGGACATGGTCTGCATGCCGAGTTTGCAAAGCCTGGTACGACGGATTTACTAAACTATGGTATTTGGGGCCCTCTATCAGGAAATCGTCGCGACGCTATTAAGCACAATCGCGCGTTGGAGCAAAAAGTGCAAGATTGTGGAGGAAAGAAGTGGCTTTACGCACATGCGTATTACACTGAGGATGAATTCTGGTCGCATTACAACAGAGAGTCTTATGATGCGCTGAGAGCAAAGTACGGAGCATCATATTTGCCAAGTGTTTACGATAAAGTCAAGGTCGATATTGAGGGTGATGAGAAACTCATGAAGTCAACAGCAAGTACAGGATGGCCGGTACGAGGATTACGAGGAGTGTATAAGGCGTTGTTTGGTGGAGATTATCTGTTGCAAAAGAAGCATGATGAAACGTCTGAGCAGAAGCAGACCGAGACTGCGAGCGTCTGACGTTGGTTTTGTTAATACTATTAATGCAGAGCGAGAGATGATATAGATATTGATACTCTGGGCAATTGCCTACGTTATGACACCTCAACGTCTGTCTGTATCCTCAGTGAACTATAACTCATTCAGCTCTGAAACCACCCAGCCCACTTTTCCTTCCACTCAACTCCTTCATCGATTCAGGACTCTTGCCATCCTTGATCTCCTGGAAAGACGCAGCAATGCCATGTTGAAGGGTTCTCTCAGGCGGATTTCCTTTTCTAGGGAGCATGATCCAAACGCCTCCTGCTAGTACACCAGCTGCCGCAGCGATAGGCATCCTACACAGTCAGTTTTGTTCTTGTAGACGAGTGATATTCGTACCAATTTCTCTTGATAGCTTCTGGACCACCTGGTGCTTGGGGTGGAGGCTGTTGACCACCTGGTCCGCCGAGGTTACCGTCAGGATGGACATGAGTCGGGTTTGTGCTTGCGAGGCGGATTTGAGAGCGCATGCGAAGCACGGGTCGAAGAATTAATCTTGAAGACATCATATTGTGTAATTTCAATCGTCTTGTGTTGTATTGAAGTTGTAAACAATGAAGAAGGTTGAGCTTATGAGGTTGAAGATGTAATGTCAATGACCTAAGAGGTTGACGAATGATGACGTGGGGATGAACTTCCCCTTCAGCCATTTTTAGAAGGTTTCACTTTCCCAACTACCCATGGACGCGGGGAAGGAAGTCATTGACGATTATTGGATGTCATTGTTTTGAAATGTCCGTTTTGGGATGAAATTTCCCGAGGGGTTATTATTGGAGGAAGGTCAGATCATGATACTCAGATATTTGGAAGGTCCATTCCATCCGTTCGGCCGTGTAGTTCGGCGTGGGTACCGTTAATTGTGGAACACCCGACCGGTAGACTCCATGATCTCGGAGCAATGGGGGTATAGACACGGAGCGAGAATAAGATACAGATGAATCAATTCGACATGCAGCCAGAGGGATAGATATCGTCTCTGCGATCAGCTTCAATCTCAAAGATCATCGTTCGGCTATCCCCGTCATTGTACGATCATATGACCAGCTAAGAAAGACAACAGACCAGGATAAATTCTTGCCTATCTAAATTCTGGTCAATAATAAGAAATGAGGCTATGAGATAATTGTGAGCAGTTCAAATAGGCTCCGGCCTGAGTATGTCGAGAACCGAACGATGAGCTGATTTTCCGGTGAATTTTGGGTGGGTTCGGTGGACGCCGGGTCCGATTGTCAGATCATTTCGGAGGCGTCAGATGTCAAGGAATTCATGAATGTCTGTCGACTTGACGGACGCATTCGGGAGAAATACGATAGTATCTACCAGTTACCGAATGGATGGATAGCAGAATGCAGTTCTGAAATAATTATTGGAGTTTTAATATGCTGTTGTGAGATAGCTCAATTGCTGCTGGTAGTTCATATCTTGGTTGTGCTCTCAATTAAATCTATACCTCAGCTGGGATGACCAACTAATAAAGAACGACTTTGAATGAACTATAAAATTTATGTCCTTCTTGATCTATGATCAAAATACCAATCTATTCATGCATATCTCAATCCAGAGTTGCGTTTAGACCCGACGCTCTGGTACAAACCGGCAACGCCCGAAGTGGCAGTGCGCAGGGCTAGATCACACCAACTCAATAATGGCACCACCAAAAACAGCACCACTGATCTACAGTCAGCTCAGAATAACGACAGTCAAGATCAAGTCAATTCGGAACTCAACGATATGAGTCTAATTAAAGAATTATATAACTATAAGATTCTACTCTCAAACCAGTTATCATTCTCATCATCAACAATCACAAGCATCATCACACAAACAACCACACAAACAATCACAAGCATTACTGAGATCTACCCTTGCATCTTCAGCTTCAACTCAACCAATCACATCACACAAAATGTCTCCTCTCATGATCAAGCCCACCGTCGGACCCAAGTAAGTCCCCTAACCCTCTTCTCTATCCAAAACCATCTAACAATATCCAGGGTCCTTCCAGTTCTCATCGCAGTAGGAAGCATCTCTGTTGTAGGAGGCTACATCCGCTCTCAACTCACAAACCAATCACGAACATTCGACCGCTACTTCAGCCAATACAACACTACCAAGAGCGAGAATGTGAGGGCAAAGACGTTTAATGGTTCTGTGCCTGATAACAGAACTAGTCTGTTTAATGTTCTTGGCTGGTAAAGCTTGGAATAAGTTTGAGACGGGTTAGAGATTTGGCGTTTGTTGGCTTGGTTACTTCTGGATTTGGAATCGAGGCGTTTTGAATCTGCCTTGTTAGGAGAAATAAAGTTACATAATAGTTGAAAGACTACCGAAAAAAAACTTCAGATTTGCAGGGATGGTGAAGTTTTGTTGCAGCTCCGTTTCTACACGGAGGAGGCCTCGAATTATTGATTCTAGTCGACTAGTGGAAATGAGTTTCTTTATTGACTGAAGCTTGTTGTAATTCTTCTTTATCAGTATATCTGTGATACTGGCAATGTAGTATATCCTCTGAATGCATCGTGAACAGATCTGCTGTATCTCGCATCTATCATGACAACAATAGTAATTGAAACTCAACTCCCGACGATTCAGCTGTTCATACCAGCACATGACCCCTTACCAAATCGACCTAAAACACCCCTGACATTCCGAATCTACCTCAATAAGCTTAAATGGTCTAGACGTTTCCAAGAACTCAGCTCAGTCTTGGCATTTCTTCTTTTGGCTCAGCCCTACAGCACCATTCGCCTGTTGACCCAATTACAGTTCAACAGCAACGCCGCCATTTTGCAATTCCGGCTTTTCAAGGGAGACGCCACGCCTGAGGTTTCCGTTGTAAACTGTCAAAGCCTCCAATGATGGCTGTACAATGACCGTGAGCTAATGCAGTTATGGCATCTGGAGAGTTGAAGAGCCGGTGGAGGCGGTGCGGTTGAGGTTATGCTGGTTCTTTATATGCTGTTACCCTCGCACGAACATGCAATTCGAATGCAGATCAAGCCTTCGCTGACTCTTCTGCAAGATGTATCAACCACCTTATCTGCAGGAGCAACAATACCAGCCGCAGCAACGGACATATGAGTATAAACCAGTCACGGCTCCGGATGTCTACCCTGTCGAAACGGATGTAGGGCAACCAGACAAGAAGGAAAAGCCCGACTATCGTCCTATTCCTCTGCGATGGCCATTCATCAGCGCTCTCATTCTTTTTCTTCTAGCGTTGATGGGATTGATCCTCTATGCTGTTCGCACACTAGACGGATCTGATCCCAACACAAAGCTCGAGAACCGATCATTCCAGATCACCGATGATAATCTGTTCTTTATGAAAAGACAAGATGTCGTCAGTGAAGCTGCTGCACCAGAACCAACTGCCGCTGTCGAAGCAGACCCCGGAACAGCCGCTGATTCCAGTCCTAAAGAAACAGGCTCCGGCTCTGAGCCCGCAGATGACACTTCAAATACCGACAGTCCGAACACCGACGATGGCAAGACCGGTATCCTGACGACCGCTCTTGTCGAGGAAGTCTTTACAACAATGGTCACTAAGCCAGGCTCACTCGAAGTGACATCCGTGACCGAATTGATCACAGAGACAGAAGCAGTGACTCGCACAATAGTGGAAACCATCGCAGGAAGTACCTATGTCACTTCATCCGCAATCCCTCTCAACCCAGAAGACAGCCCAGAAGAAACATCAGGAGCTGGTGGTCCACAGCCAACAGTAACGTACGTCGAATACACCGCGACAGCGGCGGAGTCGAAAAAGACAATCATCACCGCCATGGACAGCGGCGTGGTTCGCACAACCGTCAAGGAGACCACTCGTACTGGTCCGCCAGTCGTATATGCTTCTGTCGGAACAACAACACTTTACTCTGTTCTCACTCTTGATTCAGATGGAAAAGTTGCGAAGCCTCCTGTCACAAAGTATCGAACAAGCCAAGTTGAAGCGCAAGTCAAGACAGTCGTCGATGCACCACCGCCTGTCACAATGGTCCAGACACTGCCTGATGGCCAGGTCATCACCTCAGTGTCTACACCAGCTGGTACAACACGGGTGACGACCATGCCCCCGACACAGGTTGTCATCACTGATGTTTCCACACCAACTGGAAATACGAAAATCATCGTCGAGGCCACAACATATAGCCTGACGCAATCCGATTATTTCATCGGCAAGTTTCTTCCGCCTATCATCGCTGTTCTTCTCGCCATGGGTATTCGCGCCCTAAATCAATCAGCCCAACAATATCAACCATTCGCTGCCCTTACCCGAGAAGGCGGTGCTTTGGGTCGAGAGGCTTTGCTTCTTAGCTTTGATGGTTGGATGAGTATCTACCTCCCATTCAAGCTTCTCTTTAATGGGCAGTCTCTTCCTTTCCTCACAGCCCTTATTTTTTGGTTGTCAGGCCTCGTGACGCCCCTATCCGCTGAAGCTATTGGGTTGAAGATATATGGTCGCTGCAGCAAGGGAGCTATTGATGGCTGTGCTCTTGAACTTGGTGTCTCCAACCAAGCAGCTTATGCCCTTATCGGAGTCTTGGGTATTCTCGTTGTCCTCCTGATCTTCACACTTAGTGTTATCAGCCGTCACTGGCGCACTGGGGTATATGCAAACCCATGGTGTGCGGTCAACACTGCTGCTCTTGTTGCTCGTAACCCAGAAATTCGATCTATGGGTTCCAGCGACTGGAAGGATCTCAAGAGTGCTATAACCGAAAAGAGATTCGCCATGGGTTGGTTCCGCAATCAGGAAGGGCGCGATGAATATGGCGTTGTCGTCGTCGGGGATCTTGGTCGTGACACCACAGCTCCCTATACCAACACACCATATACTGAAGGTATGGCATATCGACCACAGACACATCGCCGAGCTCCTCAAACCTTTATGGCCTTGAGTTTCTGGTACCGATTCACGTTTCTCGTGTTCTTAATCTGCCTGCTTGGCTTCATTGGGTACTACCACTTTGTCGATACCTTTGGAAGTGTGCCCAAGAACATGAAGAAGCTTATGGAGAGTCAAGAATTCGGTGTACGATTTGTGTGCTCTGCACTTGGTGTCATTGTCGTCTTTTGCTGGGATTTTCTGTTTAGCAGTAAGTTTTGTTTCTCTTGACCCTTACCATTTACTAATTCCTCAGGCGTTGCTGTTATTACACCCTACCGCCGTATGGCTGAAGATCCTCAAGTGCCCACACGATCAGTCTTGATGACACCAGCGACCAATCCAGTCTCGGGACTGTTTGTTGCTCTGCGTATTCGAGATCCTCTCCTCTTTTTCACAGCCTTCACAACTCTCCTGTCTGAGTTCCTTCCGATCTTGCTGGCCAATGTTCCATACAATCGTACACAAACGAGTGATGCTCACGAGATATGTTCTCGTCTGAGTATTGGTATCCTGCTTGTCATGGTCGTTGCCATGCTGTCGAGTCTGTTGGTGAAATGGCCAGACTTGCCTGTTGATCCTCGCAGTTTGGCTGGAGCACTTTGGTACGTCTCTGATGCACCTTGGGTACGAGGTCTTGAAGGTGTCGCAGCGATGAGCTCAAATAAACGCAAGAATGCGGTTCAAGGTCTTGGAGGACGATGGACATATGGACCTATCCATACGCCGATGGGAGAGCGAATGTGTATTGAGCATGGAACGACAGGATTCCGGGGTTAGCGAAGTATCATCGATGGAGTGACGATCAAGTAAAATAATAGTAGTGTATTAATAGCATATTGTCTTATCATGATAGTTTGACAGCTGCAAGGATGTTGATATCGGGGAGTTGCTTCCTGCTGTTCAACCGAGAAAACCGGGACTCATGCGCGTATCGGCCAGTGTCCCCCCTAATTGGCCCAGATAAGCCCCGAGCTGTGGGGACCCCCGCACGCCATAGCAGGCCTTGGTGAGGTGACGGGGAGTAGCAAGAAGCTTCATTGGATACTTCCTTGTTTAAGTCCTGCAAGCGACCCTATTTTACGCAGAGTGGCGTGCTCAGGACGTTTCTTTCCTCAAGACGGGAAGGAAGGACAGAAAGTCCGCCTTCCAATGTACCTGCTGTGAGCTGAGGCAACTTATTATCCGTAATGTAGTGGATAGGTAGAGAAAGCATTTGCCTCTTTCATCATCTCCAACTGTTTTATTCAGGGTCACCAAAATGGTGAGACTTGATATTGTCTGGTATTTATAATCGACAGTGGCATCGTATCGCAATCGGTACTGTGATCTCAGCAAATCAACACTTTGATAACGGTACACTACGCTCTAATCGAATTGGAATGCCGACCGTTACAAATCGTCAAATACTCTTCAACAGCCAAACCTTGAAATGAAAGCCGCATGTGTTCAGTGTCGAGTTCGCAAGGTATTTACAGCAAACCAAATCCTCCCCGGTACTCGGCCGGTACTGACTCCCGGAGGTCCGATGTGACGGTACAGTGCCACGATGTCGCACTTGTGAACGACTCAATTTTCAATGCTCTTTCGAACAAGATGGTACCAGTGGGCAGTATGCGCCTCGTTTACCACCAAAATGTCGCGGCACAAAAGCTTGTCAAGAATGTCGGACTATGAAGGTTCGATGTTCTGGTGATACACCAAGATGTACAAATTGTCAGCGGAGGAAAAAGCCTTGTACTTATTTAGCAAGGGCTGGTTCAACGACTACCGAAGTGTCCTCGTCTCGAGACGACTCTATTTCTGAGTCAACTTCCCAAGCCACTGCTTCACCCGAAACTCAACGCTCTAGCATTGCATCTAACTCGACAAACACAACGGATCAAGTCGACAACGCCTCGTCTTCTGATGAGCTGGTTGTTTCGTTAATCAGTCAATACTTTGATCGACTGTATCCTCTCCCGGCGTTCAGCTTCCTTCACCAGGCGACAGTCATCCAACGATGCCGCGAAAAGACTATCGACCGAGCCCTTCAGCTGGCTTTGTGCGCCATAACAGCGATCTACTTTGACAAGCACCAGGACGAACAAACCAAGTGGGCACAGGAAGCCGAGGGTCTTATACTCGAAAAGCTTGAAGAACCCTCCATCTTCAAGATCCAGGCGTCTCTACTCCTCATACGCTACCGAGCCGCAGTTGGACAGTTTCCGAGAGCTTTCATCATGGCTGGTCTAGCAGCTAGATGGGCTGTAGCTTTGCGTCTCAATTACGAACACTCCAAGCTAACTCCTGTCGCGCAGGAGGTGCGAAGACGGACATTCTGGTCTTTGTTTCTGCTGGAGGATAGCTTTTGTGTGGGCTTGAAGGAGTTTGAGTTATTCGACCCTGAGACTATCTATCTGCAATTGCCGTGTGAAGATGTTGACTTCCTCCAAGAGCGATACGTCAGCACAGGATATCTACAGCCAGGAAAAGGCCTTGAGCCAGAAGTATTAGGCTCTCGAGCTGCATTTGTGCGATTAGCCTTCATTCGAAGGGCTATTATGCGGCTCAATAGACGGATATCGATGAAGGAAGTCAACCTCTCAGAGCTCTTCTCGTCGCTGGAAAGGTTCCAAAATGATCTTCTTCGACTACAAACAAAGCTTGCGCCCCAAGACCAGTATCCAACTTCACATCCACAAGGGCTGCGTCCATCGCCTCAAAATATCATTATGGTAAGTCTTCCGATTAGCACCCCGGCATGACTAACACTCTCAGCATATGAGTTGGCAACAATGTCACTGCGATCTATATCGTATCTTCCTTACAGAATACCCAGAATCAACTCCACATGCAGCAATCGAAGGCATCTCTGCGTCCGAGAGGTCACTAATGAAGGAAAAGTGCCTGTTTCATGCAGAGCAGATCATCCAAATCTTGTCCGACTTTGTTCAAAATAATGATGATATACATGTACTCGAGTTTGATGCAGCTATTTGTGCCTATCATTCCGCCAGGCTGGTATTGTTTGGGACATATACTGGCAAAGACAATAAAGGGCCGCCAATGCAGAATGCTATAAGCAAAGCACAGGTGTGTTTGGATGTTATAACACGCTTCTTTCGCTTTTCCGAGCAGCTCAAGTCCATGGTAAGTTCTGCTATAGTCGTCTTTGGAGGAGAAACTGACGGTATCATAGCGGCAAGAACTCGAGCGAGTTATACAGCAGCACAAGTTATGTCTTGAAACTGCAGGGTCTAGTACTATCACAGCAGCCAAGACTGACAAGGCCCCGCCGACGCTCTCCAAAGATGCATACATCCGGCAGCGCCTCGCTATACACAGTCTCCTCGGCCAATCCGAGTTTGTTGATGATAGCCGTGATGCAGCCCCTGAGCCTCCACCCGAGCCAGCATTGAGCTGGACGGGGTCCCCAGAGGACGATCAGTCTGTTCCTGAGCAAGTCGATGGCGACGGAAGAGATCCATATCTTAACGACGCTATTGCGGATCCCAACTTTCTACTGGGCATTCCGTATGGTTTTGAGATGGATGTGAATTCGTGGGCATGCAATGGTGTTGCAACGCAGGATATTGGCTCGGTGAAAGTTAATGAACAATACATGTATTGAGAGCCATGTATACGACACTGAAGGCTCTATATATGAGTCGGATCTTAATGGCGGCTTGATCAAGTAATATATCGGTCTTGGCCTTTTCGTACACGAAGGAAGCATATATAGATAGAACATACAAAGATATCTATGCAGGACACAGAGTTCATAAAAGGCAGTCTGGGTTTGGATCTCAATGCATTACCTTGCCTCCAATTCCAATCAGAGCCTAAAGTGCAGAAGGTGAACAGTTGAAGCAGGTATAAATTGATGTAGAGCGACCCAGATGATTTTATCTCTTATGCTGATAAAGTGAAGAGATAAACTGATACTAGAACACAATATATCGTCAAGATGGCCGAGGAATAGGCCGTAGTGAGCATAAGAGACGAAATACTTTGGTCATCTTATGCTAGCTTAGACCATCACTTAGGACACTTTATTTTAATCTTAGAGGATAATTCTTCTGGTGTTTTAATAAACGTAATATCTATTGAATTCCTCATAACTTAGACTTCTAATAAAGACAGGACAGTATCTTGAGCAGGCCGGGGGATATGAGAACCTATCCTTTGCAAAAGCAATGAATGGCCATGCTGGCCTACTGTAGTCAATATCCTGGCCCCTATTCCACCGATAAACCGGGATTGAAGGCCTCATAATGAACTCCGAGAAGGGTTGGCCGCCATAAGCACAAGAGACGAAAAAGTTTAGTTAATTTATGCCAGTTTAAGCTGACACTTAGGCTACCTTATTTGGTGACCTAATCCTCAAAAGATCCTTGTACAATCCTTAGACAACCCTCAGATAATTCTTAGACAATCCTTAGCTCTATTCATCGTCATCGGAGCCAGATCCTGTATAATCTCGTTAGTAAATGCGTTATAAGTCAAACGCATATTGATCCCAAATACCATCGCTTTCTTCGCCGTCGTCACTAGCACTCTCATCGTGTGGCCACTGCACGGTCACTTTAGGCATCATCTCGTGCTCTACAAAGTGCTTCCAATCGGTCCCTGTATATTGGCAGAAATTGGCCCCAAAGGAAACATAAACCCGGGATGCCCGTGAGATCCATTGCTGTTGAGGTAGGCTGACTTTGATGTGGTGCAAATCGAGGCCAGGGACTTCCTTTAGCTTTCCTAGGAATTTATTCCAGAAATTGACCTTTGGAAGGGGTCCTGTGTGACCGTTTGGCAGGTGTCTTCGAAGAGTGACCTTGTGCAACTCTAGGCGTTTGAGGGAGGGCGCGAATTTCTGGGCAACGGCGATTAGATGCTGGGGTTCCACGTTCATCATGCCGAAATTGAGCTCTTCAATGTAAGGGTATTCTGGGGAAGGGCCCATCGGGGAAGGACTCGTTGGGGAAGAATCCTCTCCAAGCCATTTGAGAAGCATGCCCGGTCCAGTTACGCTGCTGTGCGTCTCGTTGATACGAAGGTGTCTGATGTTCTTCAATTTGAGGAGAAATTCGCGCAGCTTCTTATCCGCGCTTGGCGAGTGACCGGCAGCATCGTCACTGGAGAAATCGCTGCCACCGAGCAAATCGACGTCAATGTGTAGCTTCTCAAGGTTTTCGAGGACCGGGGTGACGGAGGGCAACCTAGAAGAAGAAATGTTGAATGCACAGTCTCGCAAGTGGTTCTTGGATCTCGACATGTGCTCGATGCCCTTTGGTCTTGCGTTGGCTTGCCCTAGAGCGCAGAGCACAGAAGCGAAAACGGTGCTACCATATGCGGTCGACGTGTCGGGACCCCAAGCTAGGCCGCTGCTTTGACCAGGCCGATGCCCGGTTTCTCTGAACGCTGTAGTTGATCCGTAACTCGTCCATTGCTTGTTGTGACCATCGCGAGAACGTCTGTTGGAGTTGAAATCACGAATGACGATATCTTCCAGGTTACTGAGGGTTCTAAACGCTTCGGCAAGCATCAACACATGATCGCCTGTGGCCAGCATCGTGAATTGGTCGGTGTAAAGATCCGTCTGCTTGTCGGTTCGGGCACTATGGCCGTTGACTTGAAGAGCATGAGCGAAGCGATCAGTGCCGATATGGACCTTGCGAAGATGGCCACCGAGGCGACTCTTTGAGATGTCAATCAAGGCCTGCAGACTCATTGTTGAGATCATAAACTGCTTCCTGGTGAAGAACTCATTGACAAAGGTGGTGTACAAGGACTGCTCGATTGCGCGGCATGTGAGACGGACATTGCCCAGTTCGGGGGTTGTGAGGAAATGGGTTATCCGTAGGAGGACTTCGAGAGGGACTTTCTCGAAAGGGGAGGATGTGGACGTGGATACCGCCGGAATATCAGACATAGTGGTGTCTTGGTCAATTGTCATGATGGTGTTGATGGATAACGTACGACACGCTTGATACGGCGCAAAACGAGTTGTAGGTATGAACTTGGGGCTTGTGCCTTCTTCAGAGTGATGGGGAGAGATGCCTTTTATTGATGTGAGGTAAGTAAGTGGATAAGTTGTCTAAGGCTTAGGTCGTCGAAATAAATTAGACTAAATGATGGTCTAAGATGGCATAAGAGATCAAAGTTATTTCGTCTCTTATGCTTTCAGTGGCCAGTTTTTAACTGCTATTCACGTTAAGTTCAAGAGCAGGCAGCAAACAGGCAGGCGCGCTCCACTCAGAGATGATCTATGAAAAAGCATCAGCCACCCGATTTCAAGCGATTTGAATACCCTGTAGCACATGTGTAACTTACCGTTGGTTGTGGAAAATGATCTAACTATCATTTCATATGCTAGTTCTGCCCGTCTGCATTGATACACTGAGAAAACACGCAATACAGTGATGCTAACATAAGGTGAATGTGAGAGTTGAGTGAGGATAGAAGGAACAATGAGAAGATGCGATGGTATACTTGAGGGATAAGAAAGGCAGGTATGACAGCACTGTGATCCACTGGAACCATCCCATCACCACCGATCAGATCCCCAGCTTAAATTTGGTCGGGATTAGTGCGGGTATAAGAAGCATACGTCGAGCTTTGTTGATCAAGGGTTTTTGCAATGCAACAGCTACTCTAGAATTAATTTGGCTTTGAGATCTGAATTTAATAGAATAAACTATTGAGCTCTTATTCATGTTCTCATTGAGCTGGTTACAGTAAGTCTATGAGCAAGGGAGATAAAATTACTTCATTACTCTCCGCCAATTTAGACCGTCATAAACGTTTATCATCAACTCCAAGCTTTGGTCTCAATGAAAGCTTTCTGACCTCTCCAATGTCTGTTCTAGCCATCTCTCACCTGAGTTTCCAGGCCCATCGAGTGGATGCCAGAAGAATCATCCTCCAAGGC